GTCCCTTACCTTGACAATAAATGATATGGTTGTTCCACTACCTTGACAATAAAGGATATGGCTGTGTCCCTTACCTTGACAATAAATGATATGGTTGTTCCACTACCTTTACAATAAAGGATATGGCTGTGTCCCTTACCTTGACAATAAATGATATGGTTGTTCCACTACCTTGACAATAAAGGATATGGTTGTGTCCCTTACTTTGACCATAAACGATATGGTTGTTCCACTACCTTGACCATAATAGATATGGTTGTTACCCTACCTTGACCATAAACAATTTGGTTGTATCTCCCTTACCTTGACCATAAACCTAATCTTATAGCGGAACCCTTGGATTTCAAAATGTGAACCAGATGGTTGTATACCATACTTTGATCATGAAGAGATTGGTTGTATATCTTACCTGGACTATTGACAGGTCAGTTGTTTGACCTATCTTTCCATCAAGGAAGATACTTGTTCCCCTAAGTAGGCCAGATTTATGCCCTTTAGGTCCTACCTGGAACCTGTGCAGAAAATTGTATGCCCTACGAGAAACTGTCATGCCCTTTCTAGCACCTGAGCAGGAATTTTGTGCCGTACAACAAAGTAGCATAGCCTACCTTGAACATGAGCAGGAAGAGAAGCCAGGCCTGTACATATCTCATGGACAGGTGGACATCTACGGTGGTCTCAAAGTTGACAAAGCTGGACGAATTGGCCAGGAACTCATCGAAGGTGGAGGTGGCCTGAATCACACAGCCCACATACAGGCCTATGGCCGCCATGGCCATGAGTGTGGTGAGTAACTCGTAAATATTCCAGGCACTGGTGAAGAATGAGCAGCCCTCCTCTCGTATCAGTAAGGCCATGTGTATCCACAGGTACACTACCACCACAAACAGGATCGCCTGTACAAAACAATAACAGAGCAAAATTACAAATAAAACCCAGATATAATAGAACAAGTAGGATTCTACAAATCTGAAAAGTGAATATATAAATCGGTAGAGTGACTTACCTCACACACTATCATAGGGTCCACAATATCTACGATGTACCTGAGTAACTTCTGACTGTGTATCTGATATGTTGTGTTGATCGAGCCTGTAACAGATAACAGTTATATTACAGACAACATTCACTCTACCTAATAGTGTCTGGGGCAGAAGTACTTCAATCTTCTTTCATTATATACATATTTCCTTACAGACAGAATTTATGCAGGGTTTAAGTTGTATGCTGGAGTACCTTTAGGATGCAAGTTTGAACCTGGAGTAAGCGTTCTTGTGAGGCCAGATCTCTGAGCGAATGTTGATCTATACTTGTGAGTAAAAGTTGACAGATCAGTAATAGATTGACTGATCTTTAAATACATCTTTGAACAGCTGATGTCATATCACAATGGTGTTCACAGATGACTTGACCATTCCCTGATTTAACATGGCACCCCCAGCCTGTCACATTAATTCTGACAACTGGTCAACCAGAAAAGCCTAGTGAGACCACCAAAAGGAAAAAAAAGATCAGAGAAAACAGAAAAAGATAAATAGAGCTCCCACGTGTTCTAAAGGGGACATCAAATATACTTTTGTCTCCTTGGTATCCGCAAAAAAGGGCACAGAAGAAAATCTAATTCTACTTATGTCTTACAATCAAACAGTGAGACACAGCTGACCAATTTTCAATTATTGTCACATAACCTGTAGTGGTTATCTGAGAGGGAATGTTGATTAATCCCTTAGGGAAGATTGACTAACCTGTGAGGGAAGGTTCATATATCTGTGAGGGAAGATTGACTAACCTGTGAGGGAAGATTGACTTACCTGTGAGAGGTAATTCCACAAGTAGGTTGACATGGGTAGTCAAGTCTGTGGCAGGATTGTACAAGGTGAATTCTACAAACACAGCACGGGTATGCAGGTTGATCCAGTCCTTGGCCTGTAGATCCTGTAGTATCGCTAGCGTCTCGGTGTAGTTTGTCCCTAGGAACTGTACATACCCACCACCTCCATATGAGAACACATTGCCTTGTCGCCATTTGCTGAAACAAAATAAGTTTTAATTTAATTTAAGTAAGTTCCATGAAGTATATACCAACATCAAATGTTGCTTGCCTCATCACTTGATCACTGCTATCTAATTTCCACAGATAATACAGGATATATAAAAATTCTGCAGCTTTACCAATTTGATTTCCACAGCTAACTCTTATACAAAATGTTAATTAAAGAGAATGAAAGCTAGAACTGACTAAAAAGCCCCACTGTCAACAGAAATGTTTCGTAAATAATTCATAGAGTTAGACTGAGGAAGAATCTCAAAGCACTTAACATATGTCTAAATTGAAAATCATTGGTATGTAACGAAATGACAGAAAAAATGTGCTTACATGTGAATGTGTTTGGTGAGCTTCACTTGAGACAACACAAAGTGGTATTTTTCCGTGCAGAAATAGCATTTGCATGTATGCTGCAGTTACCGTGAAGGTAGCGAAGTGTTGAAGTAAATTGGTTTTTTGCATTGGGGCTTCCATTGCTGTTTGTCAGAGTGTTTGTAGTGAGAGTGTGTGTGTGGTGTGAGTCAGGAGGTTGTTCATGCAAGACAAGCACTTGTAAGATTATGATTTATGTTTCAGAATTCTTCGTGATTATTAATAAAGGAGATTGTCTCCTTTTCAAGATTAAGTTAGTTTTAGGCACCTTCGGACATGTATGCTACACATACTTGAAAACGTAAGTGATTCAATTATACATGAACATACGATTCGGTCACTGTAATGCTCACAAAAACCTGAAGACTAAAACCAACCTTAGTTTCATAGTCCAGTAATCAAAGATGCAACTACCTATGAAAGCATTGAAGTTATCTGAGATTAGCCAGGGTACTCATTACTGCCTACTTTAGTATCAAGGTGCCTACCTTCCAGTTAGGTCAGAGGTGTAGTAGTTCCAGGACATGTTTTGTGCTTGGTTGACGGACCATGTCTCTCCGTACGAGCTCTGGTCCTCGTCGAAGCTGCCTGACCCAACACAGGTCTTTCCCGACAGAAAGTTAGCACTGCCCAAGACCATCAAGGAATCATAAGCCATACACTTCTCTGTGAGGCTGCGGACCTGTCTGAGCCGGGCAGTCCCGAGGAGTGTGCCGTACTCTGTGTAGTTGTTGATCTCCTCCCAATGGAGCGCTGAGGCCAGGACGTCCTGGCTCCACACCCAGAAATCTTGAATACTACAAACACACAAAGATCCATCACGTTCCCAGCTACTGTTCTACTGTACTGTCTACATAATACAATAATGGTTTAGTTGTTTTTAATTGGTAGAAGCGATGCAGGATATGAACTGATAAATGAACACAACAACCTATATTTCTTGTGAGGAACACTACATACCCCATAATCATGAAACTGATAATTACCATCACTGCACAACTTAATATTTTTTCTGTGTCAATGCAAATAATGACTGTGTAAGATCAAATCTGTACAAAAAAAATACTTGTATACTTGTACTACCCCATTATTTCTATAATTGCAGTCTCTATCTTATCTTATCTTATTTTCAATCATCACTACAACAAATACCATTTATCTAAAAGATTGTTTTGAATTTTTTAAACCATTTTGATATGATAAAAGACCTGGGTTAACAGACCTGGTCATGTTTTGGAATGAGTAGGTTTCGTTGGAAACGGTGGTCCTGATGAACTGGTTCTCCGTACTGTAGGTGAAGTAGTACTGGCTGGAGTTAAAGTTTATGTAGCACAGCACCATGAGCAGCCAAAGGTAGAACATGTAAGCCACGAACTGGCGCAGCATCAGTCGCATCCTCTGAACCTTCTGGCCCTCCTCCTTAGCCTTCACCAGCGAGAAACCGGCCAGTGGTTTGAACTTCATCTCCTGTAGACCAAATAGGGTAAACACTTCATTGGACTTTGTACTGAGCCATGATTAAACATGGATTTTCCAAATAAATTTATCAATTGATGCAGAAATCTTCTTTTTATAAAGCTTACAAATTGAAAAAAACAACCTTTTGACAAAAGTTTCTTACTCAACACAAGATGACAGTAACTTCACTAAAAACTCGTATTAACAGTAAGTTCACTAGAAATATCAACATGCTTACCTTGACAGTCTCAACAGCATTGTCTATAATTGGTTCAATATCAATAACGTCGTTTTCATCGTAAGGATCCACCTTCTTTTCAATACCGGCTATGTACAGGGCCATGAAGAGAGCCTGTAAATCAGGGGAGATATTCATTACTTTTCACTGAATCTATACAGATGTATTGAACAGCAATCATCAACAATAAACCTCTTTAATATTATATTAATTCACAACAAATAAAGAACACTTAATAAGAATCAATCATTGATAATATTGATTTACTGATTCATGTTTCCCTGTTTACTTTTTATAAGGCATCCATCTTAACTTTCAGTGCTTTGAAACTAATAGAGTCTGTCATGTCGGTATTGAGAATATTGGTCACTATATAAGGCATTCATTTCTATTGTTCTTTTAGACGTGTGTTTATTATTTGTTATTTTCACATTTATCATTATGATTTAAGTGTAGTACACTCACCTTGAAGGACTCAAATACAAGGAAGGAAAATGTAACACTGAACAAGAGGGCAAGGACCCACTGGAGGGCAACCTCGGCGCCAAGCTGGTAGCCGTACAGCATAACCACGATGACAGACAACACACTGAGACAGAAGCACAGGAAGTATCCCACATACACACACCAAGAGGGTAGGGTACAGCCAGACTTCTTCTTTCTAATTTCACTTCTATCCATTGTGAATGACCCGACAATGCCATCTGAAATATAGAGATAAGGACCAAACTGAAGTTTACCTCGATGAAATAATTATGAACCTTCAAATGTACATTTTCTTTACAAACTTCTCTAATATGAACAAAATGTAACAGAAAACTATATTTTGGAACATTAAGAATGAATTCATAGATGTTTCATGCTATGAATAACACTTAATTGCCAACTACAGTCAAATATATCAGTCCCAAATTTTTCCCCCTGGCAATCTAAAATAAATCAAAATTGAGGTAGTACAAGTTGTGAATTACACATGTACATTAGTTTACGATCTTGGCACAAGTATTTTTAATATGACTGTTTTATAAAGTTTGTGAGAGTTATTGTCTGGTATTAAAAGCATATCCAACGATTACGTTAAAAGCTGAAGAAATAATTTCTTTCTAGGTCTGAAACAGAATATAAGGAATATGAACACGGAAGTACAATCACAACACGACCCGACGTCTTATGTTTACAGTGTATACAAGGAATATTAATATTTCCAACTTACGAGTGATGATGTCCGGCTGGGATATCTGACGTGTCAACATGGAGTTGGGTCGCAGTGGATTTGCCCCTGACACGTTGGTATGCTCCACTGACGGCATGTCACTGGTGCGCATCGCGCCGGGCCTCAGTCTGGACACCCACTTAGCTACACTGCCTGCAGAGGTGGGTTTCCTGGTATTCAGAGAAGCATACAGATTAACACAGCATTAACTACTATTTTTGCTGTTTTTGTACCTAACTTCATGAATAAGACCGAGAGAAAATTAGATTTGAAGGAATTTGTTTGAGATAAATCTGATTTGGCATCAAATGTTCATCATTAGTAGCATTTTATTACTTTACACTTAACATCTTATGAGATAAATTCCTTTCTATGACACTAATTTTGTTGATAAATGTTGGAGACACAGAATAGACATACTGTGTTACCAGCGGACAATAAGCCCTAACTTACTTGTTGGCGAGACTGGCCTCCTCTCTTGGGGTGAAGTTGCGCTGGGTTCCCGAGGAGGAGGGGATGGCATATGAGTCGGAGGACACAGCTGATAACCCTACGCTGTGGATTGAATCATTCCTTTTGAGGGCCCCCTTCTTTAGCCCTCCTTTACCCTTCTTGTCCTTACTTGACGGCTGGCTTTCCTCTGTACTTGGACGGTGCACAGATAGGTTCCTATAGATACAGATTCAGTTATTTTTCTACCTGTTTTTTTTATCAAGACCTATATTTCTTTAATTTGAAAATACAGCTGCATTTTAACAATAAGGAAGCAACATGGCCTTATCATTTATGTTTCTTCTTCCAGGTTTGGAAGGTATGGGGATTCAGAAGAATGCTATTAATTGATTCCGTAACATTACATAATTATTATGTAATTGCGGTTTCTATACATGATTACGTAATATTAATAAACTGGATCTACTGTCCCAAACCTGGTCGTTGTGTTGATATTTCAGACCTGTGATTAATTCTTCTATTATCTGTCTGAACCAAAGCTCCTTGGGGAGTAATACTCCATTATAAAATAGATTCCTAGACCAAGAATGCTTCGAAATAGGTTGAGACCTGTATATATGTGTATATGGTTATAGGATTGGTGATCTAAATCATTTCCATTTTATGAACAATAGCCCTCAGCCTCCACTGTGGGCAATAGTACTTTTGGTTGTTCTAAATATATCGGGGAAAATATTTCAGAATACCTATTTCTTTCACAAACACAAGTGTGTTATAAATACAATAGTATGTCTTTCAGAAATATAAATATCATGAGACTAAATGGATTTACGTATATTTTGAAACATTTTCTTTCCATATATAAATTAGTACTGGTGAAGTTATGAGATAACTGGTCCTTTTTTGTGATCTACTACAGCATACAATACCTTATGTACTGTTCCAATGGAATTCAATGGTTTTTCTATCACATGGGTTTGACTTAATATTTTTCTATCTTAAATTCCAGTTGAGTGCTCTTAAACTCAAATTCCAATTTTAATTGATTCAATGTATTTGTGTTTTTTCGTCATGCAAAAAATCATATTACAAAGAGACTTAATTTTGAAATGGATTTTTTTTTCATTTATCAAGCAATTTTTCTGAACATGCAGTAATGATAAATTTTGATGAACATTCAAATTGGAGAAATATCGGATGAGTTCGGAAACTAAACCGTCGTTTCTTGGTGAGAAAAGGCCTTAAACTAGCCCTGATTACAACAAAAAGTACTCAACACTTGAATCTATCTACTCTTTTAATGCTATTTGTGATATATTTGCAGATCTACTTGCAGAAATACTAAGTGTTGGTGTGATGTCTTTTTAATGTTAATCCACTGACCTGGTAAGGTAATGTATAGTTTGTATACTAACCTGTTGAGGCCTGATGTAGACTGACCAGGATTTCTGTTTTTTCTGTTAGTCTGTTCTTTTTTACTGATGTCAGCTTCCATATTATCAAGGTATTCCATGATGTCATCAGCAGCATCCTCAGCCTAGTTAGAGATATGTGATTCTTAATAAGACAAAGGAAACATAGCATGTTCTACCACTTACAGACATAAACTTTAATGTAATTTAACTAAAAACCAACTGCTTGTCAAGGTCATTTAGTAATTAAACAGAACTAGACAAAACAGCATGACATTACATTTTGTAGGTCTCTTGGTGACATAGAAGAAATTCTTAAAAAACTCGCTCACTTGACCACTGACACTTTGAAAATGTTACAAAGTAGTACAAAGACAATCCTACCTGAGGTCTTAACTGACAATTACCAAGACAATCCTACCTCAGCCTTCACTGACCAGTACATTGACAATCCTTCCTCACACCTCACTGGTCAGAACAAAGAAAATCCTACATCAGCCTTCACTGACCAATACAACAACAACCCTACCTCAGCCTTCCCTGACCACTACATTGACAATCCTTCCTCACACCTCACTGGTCAGAACAATGAAAATCCTACCTCAGCCGACACTGACCAGTACAAAGATAATCATACCTCAGACTACACTGACCAATACAACAACAACCCTACCTCAGCCTCCACTAACAAGTACATTGACAATCATACCTAAGAATACACTGACCAGTACATTTACAATCTTACCTCAGTCTTCACTGACCACTACATTGACAACCCTCCCTCAGCCTTCACTGAGCAGTACAAAGATAATCATACCTCAGACTACACTGACCAGTACATTGGCAATCCTACCTCAGCCTGCACTGACCAGTACAAATACAGACCTACCTCAACCTTCACTGACCACTACATTGACAATTCTACCTCAGCCTTCAATGACCACTACATTGACATTTCTACCTCAGCCTCCACTGACCAGTACATTGACAATCCTACCTCAGCCTTCACTGACCAGTACAAAGATAATCCTACCTCAGCCTACACTGACCAATACAACAATAACCCTACCTCAGCCTACACTGACCAGTACATTGACAATCCTACCTCACCCCTCACTGGCCAGAACAAAGAAAATCCTACCTCAGCCTTCACTGACCAATACTATGATAACCCTACCTCAGCCTACACTGACCACTACATTGACAATCCTACCTCAGCCTTCACTGACCAGTACAAATACAGCCCTACCTCAGCCTTCACTGACCACTACATTGACAATCCTACCTCAGCCTTTAGTGTAGCCCTGTTCTGCTTGGCTGATGTGCTGGTACTTGGCTTGGACTCCTCTGTAGATGGCCTAGGATTCAGGCGTTTCAGCCAACTTTCCTTGAAGGTGTCGTGTTCCCATACACCAGGGTTATTTGTCCTCTCAAGCTGTGTATACAATTAGTTTGTTGATACATTTACTCAAAGACACTAATAAATATTTTTGTTGTTGATAAAAATAAATCAACTTTGTTTAAACAACAAATCATTAGCAACCTTCACCATATATGGAACAAAAAAAGTATGTGGGCGCAAAAACTAAGATTTCAATATTTACCATTTCTCGATCAGGGCCCTTATTCATGAAACCGTTCTCATGCTCAAGCATGGAATCTGTGCTCAAACCAACTTTCTGGTAACTCGCTTAGATCATGTCAAACGGTCAAAAAGCCAAATGTAAACATTGAAAACAGTATTTGGCTATAAGTCTCTTCAAAATGTTTCCAAATCATTGACAAAATAAGATTTGTTTATTGAGTTATAACCAGAACAAGAACTTAGGCTTGAGCACAAAAAAACGGCTTCATGAATACGGGCCCAGGTGATTGTTGATTATGATACTTTGAATACGTACCTTTCTGTCGTTTTTATCACTCATTACACTGCTATTTAAGCTATCAGTAGATGATGGCATTCTCTCCATTTTTAGTGATGACTTCAGTGTTTTTGTACGACGTAAAGCCAGATTCGTTGGAGCTGTAGCGGCCTGTACAAACAAAGATATATTGTATTACTTAATACAAACTGTTTTCATCAACCATTACATAATATTCAGAATCCTGAAGGAGCATGGACAACATGGCTGTGTTAACCACGATCCTTCAGAATTCATTGATGAGCTATTAGCGTGGACTCTGTATACTAACAGTATCCATGGCGGTAATGATCGGAATCACACCAAATTTCCTACTTAAAAGGGTCATTGTGTCTCCAACCCCCTAGAGTGATACAGGTATTATAGAACAGTTGGTGGTTTGTTGTATTTCATCATGAACATTAAGAAGCTTTTCTTCAACATAGCTTGACATAAATCTGATGAAGAAATAAGGGAGGGAAATCATAAACAGAGAAATTCTTGACTCAAGATTGAGTAACAGGTTTATCAACAAATAAGAAGTATTGTGGGTACCAGTATTGATTCTTCTGTACTCTCCCTTTCTCCAAGGTAGGACAGGAGGTCCTCGTTTGTTTGGAAGGAGGAATAAATAGACTGGTCACAGTTATTGTCAATCTCAATGGTCTCAGCTGTTCCTGAACGGATACCTTGTTCAAACACATTGTTCTGTGAATGAAAAAAAAATATATATATTTATATGTTATTATATGTCCTAATTCAAATCTAAATAATCTTGACAAAATTAATGGATACAAAGTCTATAAAAGAAACAGAAGGTTATTTTGAAATCAATATCATAACTTACCTTTGAACGACTCTTCTTGAATATGCTAACAAGAAGAATGCTGAAAGGGAAAACCACAGCGTTGGTAGCCAGGGCAACAACAACTTCCTGCCACCCAAAGCCGGTTGTACCAAGGTTTGAGTCCGACGTTTTGATAACGCCGTACCAGATGACATTGATACACATGAACACATACAGGATGGTCACTATGCAGGTGGCCCTCTGGACACGTGTAAACCGACTGTTGGCTGGGCGATCCATCACAGACATCCACAAGTGACGGTCAGACACAGAACTTGACCAAGCATGACCAAATATCCTTGTGAATTTTTGAATTTCTGCAGAGCCTTGTAGGAAAACAGGCAAAGTCATGGAATTAATTAATCATGCATTCGAGAAAATTTATTGACAAAAGATTCAGGCATAGGGTATGTCTACATAATACAGTTCTGCAAAACAACTTCTGCAAAACAACTTTTATGTTTAGAGAATGGATATATTTCAATGACTGGAGTAAACTGTAGATAAAATATATCTGAAGAAATATCTGGATAATAGAACCACACAAAGCAGGAAAGTTCCCAGACAGACTTACCAGCAGCATAGATCTCTTTCTGTATGAATCCATGTTCCTTTTCGAGGGTTAGCCAGATGTTTCCAAAAAAGTAGTACTTTTGGTCTGTCTGTAGGTCCCTGACAATGACCTGTACCATGTACCAGCTAGGGTCCAGTCCGTGGTTGTCATGCCAGACAAACACCTTGGAGATGTCCCCTAGGTTGGTATCGTGGGCAATGATGAAGGAATCTTGACAGTTCCTTTGGAATGCTCCCTTTTTCGATAAATGTTTCCTGTTACTTTTACCATACTCTCCATACAATTTGATGCCAACATGAGCAGAGGTTCCTGAAACACAAACAGTGGGTTTGTTCTGAATCACCTTTTCTCTATCCTCTACATATACAAACAGTGGGAACATCCATACGAGAAGTAGGCACTCTCAATGAACTTCATTGGCATGATCTCGATTCGGCGTTGACCTGTTTTTATTAGCAATCTAATATAAATGCCAAATGGAAAAGACAAATTTTCATGAAGCGTGCTAGAATTGCTAACTGAAGGCAGTTTAATACATATATTTAACATTTAATCTTTTTTTTTTAGTAAGACATGGGCAAAGCCTCATTCTGACCCAAATTCTATATAATCAAGTAAAATGTCCATATTATATACCCCATACCAGTATATAATCAACTCTATTAGAGTTTTCCTACTAAGCTGTTAAAATTTACAATACGATTTTTTTTATATTGAAGGTAGTAAATGTTTTTCTTTACATGCTAAGGTTAAGCATCTACAACTATTTGACAGAAAAATATAGTGATATTTTATTCTAGTTAAGAAAAATCATTATATACTAAATTATGACAAACACATTTGATAATAATAATACCTACCCGCATTTCTCTGTTTGCCTGTAACCACAGTTATCTCGTATTTGAAGGAGCCATCTTTTCCACACAAGGGCACAGATGAGATTCTCTCAAGGTCACGAAGGTCAAGACGTCTGCTGATGATGGTTGCAACGAGGTATACCACAAAGATGATTGCGCAGGTCACAAACACAACAGGGTTGGTGTACAGATCAATGAACTGTAACAAGGTACATTTTTGTTTTATTATATGTTTCTTGTAGATTCAAAATGAACAAAAGTTTGTCTAGTTTCTTATGGTTGTGGTCAATTAATAAAATTGGAATTCATTGATGAGCTATTATTAGCAGGAACTCTGTGTACTAACAGTATCCACAGCGATAATCATCGGCTTTTTATTAAATTTATTAAAATTAATTAAAACTCCCATATCAGATCTCTGTTTCCATATAAGAATATGATTCAACTCCCNAATACAAACAGTAGTGTACTCAAAGTTCAAAGTGTTAACAAACCTCCAGATCACTGAAGCTGATGGCATCAATGGGGACTAACATTCCCCCACCGAAGGCTGTCAAGTGGTTACATTCACACACAATGGCCGTAGCTGTGCTCTCGGCGGTGGGATAACAGCCGGAGGGAGACCAAGCCAGCTCCGTAGTGTCGTAGTACATACACGAGACCGTGTACATGGCTGTTGACACATTCAACATGTAGGTATCGTTGACATATACAGAGATTCGGTAGGTCTTTGTTGTGTCAAAGTTACTGAAAAAGATAACGGGAAAATATTTCGTACTTTGGGGTTATATTTTTAAACCCCAGATAAAATTCCCATTTCACTGCCGACTGTCCATCCCAGTATTTGACATGTTTGATTATCAGACCTGAAAAGCAATCCTAAGCAAGTGTTTTCCATCAAAGAGGTAATTTATGAAGTTAACTCTACAATAAATATCATAATTGTGTCTATAAATAACTTTCTTAAAACATCATGATAATAGTTGTTATAAAGTGGTACACATCTACATGTATTATGTATGTATAGTTAGACGTAGTTTTATTTCATATCGCTGTCTCAATTGTTTTTCTGTCAGTGTTAATAAAGTTGATATATTCTAAGTATCCGTACTGAGTTACTTATATGTCACTTGGGAAGGAGAATGACCCCACAGTACACTTAAGTATACAAGTTCTACTCATGTGAAACATGTATTTTTTATAACATTGTACATAGCCAGATTAAGATGTTTTTGACTTTAGTTAACCTACCTGATGTAGAACGTGTGGTTCCTATGATCACTTGGTAGTATGTCCGATGCTATAAGCTCTATTGTTTCGGTGTTCTGCGACGATGAGGGACTAGCAATGTCGATCCCAAGGTAGAAAGATGCCTTGGACGGGGCTACTAAAGCTTCTGCAGAAGCTCCGTCAATATTCTTGGCTAAAACCTGGATGTATACTGCAGCACCATCCACTCCTGAGCTGGGAGTTAGGGTGATCAGTTTTGGTGTTTCACTGTTTATGGTACTGTAAGTGTAATGGAGGTTCTTCGTCTGATCATATCCAGTGTTTCCAACTACACTAGCATTAGAAACATCTACAGTCGCTTCCTCATCAGTTAGAGCCAGCCTGACATAGTCCCCTTCCCCTAATCCATCTATAGAGATGTCAGCTCCATCGGTGTCTTTGAAAGAGAGACTGGCAGTTTTGGTGTTAACAACAAAATCGTGAGTAAATCCCCAGGTATATGGGTTCGGGTCATTGTTGATATAGATCTGGAACACTTCTGTACCGGCAGTCATCTTACTCTGGAGCATGTTACTGCTGACTGTGATGCCACTTCCTGCCGCGACATAATCGAGGTTTAGGTCATCGCTGGTGGTCCTCTGTCCGTGCACAGACATGCTGTTTATTGTGTATACCAAAGGCTCTTGCCCCAACAAGGTCGACTTGAGATTGAGAGCAATGATGTCCTCAGCCTCTGACAGTGCCTTAGTGACAACAGACTGGCGATGCGTTTCTGCGTTGAGGGAGGAGGAGGAAGAGGAGAAAGGGTTCAGACTGCTCACAGATGGAATATACAGCTGTATGGTGTCATTAAACCAACCAGAGACCAGGGAGGTATCCGTGGAGTACACCGCCATGTTCACACCAGACATGACATTGGCGACAGCTGCAAGTAAATTACTGGTCAGGGCGCTGCTCTTATCCACACCCTGTCGAACGTCTTTTTCCATAGTGGACTTCAGGCTCTGAGTCAAAACTAGAACCAGATCCTGACAGAAACTAGTCTGAAACTCGTCCGCATGGCCCTTTAACAGTAAATAAATGGTAATGTTCATGAATGAGATACATGCATACAGCCTTTCACACATATTCATACTTTTACCAAAGTGATGGATGTCATTTCCACACCATGTGATATATAAATAAAGTTATTAGGATCAGAAACTTTCTACGTTTATGATGTATTGCTTATTTTTCTCACCAGTTTGTTTCTATAATTAATACTAAACTAGGATGTTAGTATCAGCATATCTATACTGAATTCGCAAGAGAAAACACAATACTTACAGTTAAGTATTCCATGAAGGTGGCGGCCTGTTGTCGTTCAACATTGTCCTCAAATGGCAGTCCTAGCACTGTCAGTGCAAGGATGTTCCTCAGGGTGGCCCGCATGTACTTCTCCGAGTCGTTAGTGGCCACGCGGGACAACTCGTTAAGCTCGTGAATCATCACAATAGAATACTGTAACAGCAGCGTGGGACTGTTTTCCTTGACGAAGCCCAACATCTCCGTATTAGTCTTTTCCCACATGTACTCCATCATCGTCTGTCCTGCTGTCAGTGTTGGTCTGGTCACTGTGATCATCCTGACAACATAAGGCAAATCTGGTACCAAACATCGTAACTTTGTTATAACAACAAATCTGGTGCCAAACATCATAACTTTGTTATAACAACATATCTGGTACCAAACATCGTAACTTTGTTATAACAACAAATCTGGTACCAAACATCGTAACTTTGTTATAACAACATATCTGGTACCAAACATCGTAACCTTGTTAAAACAACGTAAGACCAATCTTAATGCACATGACAGAAAACAAGTCAAACCAAGAACCACAGACTTCAGCATCAATTTGATATAGAAGTAGAACTATTTCTGGGATGTGGACTGTAAAAAGATAACATATTGTACTTAACCCACATAAGCTAAGGAATAGATGCATGTCATATTCATATTCTTTAACACAACAGAAATCAAAATACATACTCATAGTACAAAACATTATTCTGATATACACACGTCAAACTTATACTGAACATGATCTTGGAAGTTACACAGCTAAATTTACTTTCAAGCATCATTTAACAATAAAGCTAAATCAAGTTCCAAACATCAAATGGCAACACAAGTCAAACTATTACCAAGCATTATCGTGAAAGTTACACAGCTAAATCTTGTTCCAAACATTAATCCATCAACACAATTCACACTTAGTATGTACATTTAAGCCCACTTATTAAAGCATTATGATATATACCAGTTACAAGCTAAGTATTTCTGAATAATAAACTTACTGGTCAAATCCTTCATAGCTGCCGTCGAAGCTGTCAATAATGAACACCTTCACTTGAACTGTTGTCCTGGATACTCCGGGCCAGGATGTAAGGAAGACATCTACCTGAGACTGCGGGCCAGAATAAATGATGACAGACTGTCCAACAGAGGCGGAATCTGTACTGTAGGCAATCACTTTGTACGTTAGTTCAGTGGAGGAGCTGTCTGGGTCGGAGAAACCCAAACAGTCAATGGTCAAAGTATCAAACACAGTAATGGTTGTAGTTGACACGTTACAGCCTGAACCACTTGGAGGCATATTGGCGAGTAACTCAATCTCAGCGTAGGAAGTGGTGGTCACCGAGTTCTCCGTCTTTGTAACTGTAAGTCCAAATGTGTACGGCTTACCGTCAATAATTTGTCCTGTTTTTACTACAAGATTTGACTTGGAATCTCCAGTGTGTGTGTTGGTAGTAGTCAGGCTAAAGGTACTAGTTCCACTGTCAACATACGTGGCATTCCACGTGTAGGTGACTGTGGCAGATCCGCAGTTTGCACAGATTCCCTGTAACGCAAGCTGTTTGGCAGAACTGATCCCATCTTGGTACAGTGCTTGACACGACACACACACTATCTTCATAGAAGGCGCATTGGTACTCTCAACAATCAACTATTTAAAACAGAAAAAGACACGAAGAATACATTTTGTCCTTTTAACAACTCACAGTGAGATCCATGTTCCTGAGGTCTAAACTTAGAATTATCATAAATACCCAACATTATGAGGTAACTAAGATTTTTATTCATTATCAACATGTATATCACATATTTAAACAAGGTGTATGTTAATCATAAAGTCAATAAGTCGTTTCATGATCAAACACACGAAAGTACCTACAGTAGTTGATCATGGGTGTAGAAGGTACAGGAGGGCCAGTTGCCTCCCACCTCCATATATTCCTCACAGATTTGGCAGCTGACTGACTGTTTTTGGCCCTGTGACACTTTAAATTCAACAACCTACAACTTATATGGGCTTCATCCCCCAGACCCTCCACACATAGCCTCACCCCTGAACCCCAGTTTTGAATTCCCCCTCAATCATTTGGGTCACGGCTAAGGCCATGATGATTTTTTGTTTAGGCTACTATACCCACCTGTTGAGAGTAGTATCCTGGTGTTCTGTCTGTCGCAGACACAGTCAGTGTCACATTGTAGCTCTGGCCAGCAGTCAGATCACTGGCGTTAATATTGATAGAGCTAGAACTGCCAGACACTGATGAGCAGGCATCACTAGCAGCAGACTGTAATGGACAAATAATCATGTTTATACATTTATGATTGACAAGTCACAAGTCAGGAACATTTTTTACTGTATGTGGTTTTTATACAAGGGTATTTATATGCCAGAATTTACCTATTAGTGGCAAAACCTATTTTATGAAACTGGAAAAGTTTGATATTGCAGATTTTATTTTTGTACAAAATATTCTGACAAATAAGTTTACTAACCAAATTGCTATATAATCTTTAATGGGCTGTTGTATAAGTATACACATATATATTATTTAATGGGCTGTTGTATAAGTACACATATATATTATTTTAACACGATTTGCAAGTAAACGATGACTTCAGCAGTCATGAAAGTGGATGTAGTGACATTTAAGACACCAATATGAAATCAATAAATGTGATTTGTAAAAGGCCTTCGGTAACTGCCTCCAGTTCAGTTATACCTGATCCTGCTCTATAGCAGTACACATATATATACATTTTACATATTCAACAGGCCACTGTGGCAGAAAACATTCACCAGTACATACATGTTACATTTCTAACACTATTTGCTATTTCCCTTTAGAAAATGTAGCTCAGCTCTTTACTTACCCCCGAGAGTTTTGTACATGACCAGCTGTACTGCAAGGAGGAAGACAGGTCCTTGTCGTAGGAGGTGCTACCATCAAGACGATGTACAGTGTTGGCTGGAATTTGGACTAACTTTCCCCCGTCTATAACTGCTACTAAATTAGACTTTGTCACAGTCACATTAAACATCACTGTCTGTTTTAGGGGAGTGTCCTGGTATGAAGCTTCCAACACAATACAGAACTGGCCGTAGTTGAGTGTTCCATTGGTCAGGGACAGTCTAGGTGTTTGCACGACAGCGTCGGTGAGAGTGACTGGGTTAGCAAGGGTCTCGACACAGCTTGTCAGGTTGTAGGCTGTCCACTGATAATGAAGATCATAGGAATAACATGTAAACCTGTTAATATCCACCTCAAATACAACAGAATTGGCCTTGTACACTGTCTTGGACGTCACCCCTGCAGCAGTGATGACTGGAGCGATGCAAGTCAATTCATCGATGTAGAAAACTTTCTCCACAGTCAAGGAGTTGATGTTGTTTGAAACTGTGAGCTGTAATTCATACGACTGTTTAACAGTGAACACCTTTGAGAAAGCACCAGTTTCTGTGGACGTGTTATAATCAATTGGAGAAAAACTCCAGAAATAGGTTACTCCCACCAGATTGGTACCTGTCACAGTAAAGTCAACAGTATAGTTTACAAACAGGTTGATGTCATCTGACATTGTGATCACCACATTCGAAATAGGTCCTATGATGATATACCAGCACGAGGAAACATCCGAGCCCACAAGGTTGCTCACATTCAGATTAAGGTTGTAAATTCCTGTCTCTTGAAATGAATATCCAAATGTTTTGTTAGTTTGCTGTATAGTACCAGCATCCATAGCAACAGACCAAGAGTATGTCTCATTTGTGCCTTGTGTTATCACTGCGAATGCCTGGGCCAAGTCTGTCACATTGACTGTGGCATTACACTGTGAAATTGACAGTCCTTGGATTGCGTCTTCTATTTCTACACTAATTGATGTGCTGTAGGTAGAAATCTGATTGGACACATTTAGAGACGCTACATAGGTCCGAGCAACTGTAAAGCTGTGCGTTTCCGTGTAAGTGGTGGTTGTGGTGGTCACAGAATCCATTGTCCACATATAGGTCAGATGATCTGCGTCGCTGTTGTGAACCCCGGTAAATGTGACCAGCGCATTGGTTTCTGCTGCACCGGCTGCATTGGCATTTGAGGTCATACTGAGAGAGGTCAGTGGTGTTTGAATGTAGATATCTGTTGTCTTCACCATCGAGCTCACATCATTTGTCACATTCATCGTTAGAGTGTAATTGGCCACAGAAGCAAAAGTGTAGTCAAAGGTTGTTGAGGACCCAGTATGTACGACACTACTAGCCTGTCTCAGTTCCCAGGTAATGGTGATTTGGTCTCCTTTAGGAACACTGGCTGAAAATTGTACCGCACTATTAATGGCAACAAACGGATAATAAACGAGATTGCTAGGTATTACGATGGTAGCATCTTCTATCACGTCCAGTACAACATAGGTTATGGTCTTTGTCATCGAACCCAAGGGATTTGTCACTACCACACTCAACACGTACGTACCACTTGTATCAAAAGCAATATCTAAGTTTTCTGATGCAACATTTAGAGCTGTGTTGTTTTGATACCATGCATATGACAATGTAGAGCCCTCAGTCACTGTAGCAGTTAGGCGGAGACCGGTCAGTGTAGCTATAGGTGAGGTGTTGTTGTTAGTGATGGCTGCTCCAGCAATGGGTGTTTCTACGATTACTGTCAAATTGGTTTCCTTTGAGCTGGGCGAGTTTGTAGCTGTTACTTTCACAGAGTACTCCCCCTCTATGGTAAAAGTATAATTCAGAGTCTGGGTACTGAACACAGTTTTTACAGTATCAGTTGAATTATAAATGGTCCAATCAAAGTAAACATGCTGATGAATGTTGGCGGTCGCATTGAAGGTTGTTGCTGTATTGATGGCCACATATGTGCCACTGGTCAGGTCGTTAGAGGTGATGTTAACACTGGTGACAGGTTCATGTACTAACAAGGCCAGGGTGGCGGTGGCACTACTTATCTGGTTATAACCCTCTACAGTGACTGTGTAGGATCCACTAGCTGTGTAACCTGGGTTCACATAAGAACCTGAAGATGCTGTGATCACGTTACAGGTACTACACATCTTCCACCTATAGGCAGCATGGGAGCCCACTATGATGGTATCCATAGTTAACGGGGTGTTGACCAAAATGTCGGTGGATGGCGAAGTCACGTTAAACAACAAACTAGTGATGGTGTCCTGGACCACGACAGGCAAACTGTACTCAGCTGAGCTAACTTTATTACTTGCTGTCACATTCACAAAGACGTCACCATTTGCTGAGAATTTTTGAAGCAATGGATTTGTAGATGAATCTGCTTGACCTGCCACAACAAAGGTATAGCCAACACTGGTACCTCGCTGGATAGTAGCCGTGTAGGTGGACGTTGCATTAGTGGCACAGTAGGAGATACCACTATCCAAAGTACATTCTGAACAGTTGAGTATCAGTGACTCTACAGACTCCAAAAACGTTACTGTTATCGTAATATTTACAGAGCTGATTTGATTGGCTGCCACCACATCCACTGGCAGCAGCAATGTAGCTGTGCCGTATACCAGGTCATAGGTTAAACTCGTGGTACTGAAGCTGGACCCATCAAAGGTGTAGGTGTACCATACATCTGTCCCTGTGGCAACAGATGCTGTCAGCACTACTGTTGCTGCTGCTCCAGACACAATATTTCCTATGCCACTGCTAAGTACTCTCAAGTCTGTCACTGTATCTTGAACTCCAATTAGACTAGACTGAACCCTTTGAATACCTGTTGAATTATGGACTAAGGTCACTGTGACAGTGTAGTTGCTAGCATTAGAGAAGGAGTGTGATACTTCTGTCAACCCTGTACCCACCAAACTAATGCCATCACCGAAATCCCAAGCGCAATGCAGGGAGGAAGAGTTGAAGCTTAGGACATCAAGTTTGAACACTACAGAGCTTGATGTTATCACATGGCTGTCATGCTCAAAAGCTAAGATTTGAAGTGTATCAAAATCTACAGCTCGAACCTCCAGGGACTGGGTCAGAGAAGAAAACGTATTTTTGGCAATGACTGTGAGGTTGTATACTCCCACTGTGGGGATAGTCCAGTTGTAGGCAGAAGCAGATGCATAGTTGCTGGTCAGACCTAACGTGGGTTCCTGAAAGCTGTACAAGATGTGGGAACCAGTCCCAACAGCAGCCGTGTACGACACAGTGGTATTGACAAGAATGGGTGAAGTTCCTGTGAGAGAGAGACTGGTTATCAGTTGTTCTACTGTCACGTCTACGGATGTGTTGCCTGAACTTATACCATTCATAACCAGGAGAGTTACACTGTACACAGGAGAAGATAACGTACTGAACATATGAGAAACACTGGTAGTTGTTTGATTTACTAGAGTTGTCCCATCCTGGAAGTTGTATGTGTAATAGATTGTGTTGCCATAGTAACTTGGTCCTGGTAAAGACGGTGTGAATGTGATCGTATCATCCTCTGAGATTACAGTAGCACTTGTAGATAACGTCACAGTTGTTATAGGCACCACAATGTCAATGGAGGTCGATATGTATTTAGCACTTTTAAAGGAATCATCTTGTAAAAATATTGCAAATGTGTAGGAACCTGTTTGAGAGTAAGTAAAGTTCAGTCTAAACTCCTGAGTGGTTGATGTTATAGTCAAAGTAACCAGCTGGGGAGGTCCAACACCAAATATCCACATCACAGAAACTTCTGCGCCAACAGTAGCATCCACAGAAGCAATGTACTCATATTGTGTGCCCACTTCCATTACACTTGGTATATCGGTGAATTGGAAGTTCTGGAAACTGGCTCGAACTTTAACGGTGACTCCTATCTCTGCAACAGAGTAGCTGTAGTCATCTGATGCATTGACTGTAACAACGTGATAGGGCACTGTGGTGTTGAGGAACTTATGGGAGAACGAGGCACTATTTGCAGTATACACCAAGGTACTGTTCACATAGTAATTGTAGATGGATGGTGTACCAGTGCTGACAGTCACCGTGAAGGACGTCTGTTCATTATAGGCTACGTAGTTGCTGCTCTGTGAGGTAGACAGTGCAATAGATACGCCACTGATCCTCTCAAACACTCTGACTGCCACAGTAAGATTGGCCGAACTCACCTCGTTAGACACAGCGACATGGACCTCCATATCAGTGGCAAAAGTATGCGAAGTTGAAGTAAAGGGAAGTGCAGGCCAGTTTTTGTAAGAAGTACATACAGAATCTGATACAGCGCTGGGACACGAGTCACTGAAAGTTGTGGAGGTTGTGGCCGATTCAAAAGTCCAAGTAGCTGCTAGATTTGTGCCAAAGTCTGTAACAACTAAAAGGTCCGTGGATGTGCCAGACTCGACGAAAATAGTGTCTGTGCTTTGTCCCACCTGTAGTTCGGGTGACAGCCAGGTGAGAGTGCCAATGATCTCTTGCGATGTTATCGTCTTTGTCTTGGTAATGACAGGGTCCACAACGTTTAGCTTGAACTCTGTAGTGCCTGCAGTGGTGAAGTACCCAAGAGAGCTAGGCATTGTCTTGCTGACAGATTTAGAGTAGATGGCATTGAAGTAGCACATAGTGTTGTTCTTCCAGTAGGTAACATTAAAGGCGTCACCAACTGACAGCCATTTACTAACAGTTGCCTGCTGTGTATTCTGGGTCCAGTCGCCACCTGTTTCACATAGGATTACATTACTCCCAGTGTTCACTTGGTATCCTATGATGTCATTTGACTGGACGTCAATGTTGTCCGCCAAAATGGTGTAATACTGAAAAGCACCGGCTGGTATGACGACGAAAGTCTGGCCTACAAGGGTGTAGGTAGGGGAAGACCCAACGTATGATTCCGTACATGCACCACAGTCACATAGGTCTGCTACAGGGATACATGCATCATCGTGGAAGCAATACTTTTTCCCTTCTGTACATGTCTGCACTGATGGACAGCTAGTGGCAGTAGACTTACAAGAGCCGTATCTGGCTCCATTTCCATTACACCCTGAAACATAGAATTATCGTTTGTAATTTTTATTTTTCTATCCAGATATGGCTAAAGAATACGTATTTAAAGTAAAAACAAATATTTTTTCGGTGAAATTATTTCAACTACTCATTACATGCTTCAGTGAATGGACCATGGAAAATAATAGCCATTACTCCTTACTGACAAATGCAAATTTCCATGACTGACTATGATTTTTCTGAGAAAAAAATGTGGTTTCTTAGATATATCTTTGCATGATCTTCATACAAGATTGCACAGTTCAACATGACCCTATTAAATTATTACAGGTCTATTCAGTATAAATCAAGGCAATTGCAATCCTGTATGGTATTTATCAACACCAGTATAAAATAGTACCAGTAGAAAGATCTAACCTGACTTGACCTTGTATGGTTTAGTACAGTTTAGTATGATAATGGTATGATGTAACACTGCTTCACTTGACCTTGGATGGTTTAGCCTTTCCCTTAATGCCTCTTACTAACTCTAAACAGTCTGTCCTTACCTGGTGTTACAAACGTTTCACTGGCGGCGCATGCTGGGCGCCACACTTGGAAGGCGGCAATCTGTGAGCTGTTCAGGTTTGCAGATTTGAAAGTCCATGCTACAACAGTGCCACTTTCGTCGGGTATTGAATAGCCTACAAAGTTAATATCCAAGAAATTGCACTAAGTAAACTCTAAAGTAAATATCTTACATATTTAGTGACACTCATTAGTAAGTAAATATCTAACATATTAAGTGACACTCATTAATAAGTAAATATCTAACATATTTAGTGACACTCATTAATAGGTAAATATCTTACATATTTAGTGACACTCAATAATAAGTAAATATCTAACATATTTAGTGACACTCATTAATAAGTAAATATCTAACATATTTAGTGACACTAATTAATAAGTAAATATCTTACACATCTAGCGACACTCAGTAAGTTTAAAAGTAAAATTCTGTCCATCTTGTGGGACTAAAGTGACCCCCTATGTAACACCAGACATCTGAATGTGAACTTGATCTTGTGATGATGCTTCTTAACATGATGTACAAGAAATTGTTAGAGGGACGTTCCTAGCTAAACAGATATTTTTAACATTCATGCTGACTTTAAGATAACCAATTTGAATTCATACCAGCATGAATGTTTAAAATTTTCTGTTCAATATGAGCGATCTAAATGCATAGGAATTCTATAACATTTACATATTTAAGTGTCTGTATCATCAGAGCAGTAGAAATTCCTGAAACAGCCTAAGGTCACCATAATGTTTGCTTTTTACAATGGTCTCATGTTACTTGAGACAGGAGAAAGCATCAAAATGACACTGATCCAATTTTGTTTATTGCTCTTTGAACACTGGTAGTGTTTTATATTGCATTGGTTAAGTAAATGTCCATTGCATAAAGAGTAATTTCCCTATGAACATAGTAAATAGATGTGTACAGGCAATGAAATAAAAACAACTCCATCATAGATAGGCAAACAAATACAGTTAAAATGGGTCCATCGATGCATAAATTTGCATGGTAACCTATAGACCAGTCATGAAAACCAATTTTGTCAACACATTACATCAAATTTTTATGTATGAAATCTACACCACAGAAGAAGAGAATGGTGTTTACCAAAAAGGAGAAAAGAGACCTCTCATATTGACAGTTGGCTATTGTCTGTGATATCAACTGTATCAAGAAGAAGAATGTGTATTCACTGCATCACAAAGAGGTATATGATAAGCACTACACAAAAATACCTGGGAAGATGGTGATGACCCCTTTTTCTGTGGCCGGTGTGGAAGAGGTTGCTAGGGAAGTCAGAGTGTAGGTATGTGATGTAGGGTCCAGACTCATGGTCCCCACTCCGGAGGCTTCTACACTCACGGTGTCTACAAAACATCAAATTCAGCTTCAGTAATACCTGTAACATCATTCAAGCTCAACCATTTCTCATAAATAAACATTATTAAATGCCATCATATATAACAGACCACATTCCTATATCAGCAATCTCATTAAATGTTACAATAGAAATATTTCCCCATTTTAGGCTCAGCATCGGCCAGCAAGGCAACACACTTGATTTATAAAACATTGGATTCCCAAAGATCAAGGATGTTTAAGAAACAGATTTGTAATGCTGGTCTACAGAAGATACCCAATTATCCTGTCTCTTTTACCTTGAAGTGCTTTTATGTTGTTTGAATGTTTCTTTACATGATTGACCCCTGTAACCTTGAAAACAGGTCAAGGTAACACTGTCCCGTGTACCAACTGGCCATGACTCTGGAGATGCTGGCTGACAACAAGAAGTCAATAACGACGCCACAACATCCCATTACCTTACAGGCACTAAATGCCAGGCGAGCTAAAAACTGTTTCATCCTAACCACTTATAAACTTAACTGTCTTTTGTCCTATAACTTTTTAACTGAAAATCTGTGGTCAACATAATACAAATACTGGTAAAATGGAGCTTAAAAAGAGATTACTACCTTTTACAACCGAGTACTGGCAGATATAGGAGAGGATGGTAGAACATGAGTACCCTTGCCAGTCTCCAGTCTGAGACAAACCGAAACAGTCCCCTGTTTGTGTGGAAGATATGGGGTTGTAGGCCGACACAGACTCGGAGTTCACCCACTCCAGGTAGCCGTCCATGTTCTGGTATCTCAGGCCCACCCAAGCCTTTGTGTTAGTCCTGAAACAAGATCACATAAAAGCTGTTATTTATACAGGTCCGCTCTATGCTTTGTATTTTACATTTAATTTGCAAACAATATCAAAGCTATTGAAAGACATGTAGCCTTACCTTTACTCTTTCCAGAAGACTTGGTCTTCTCAGAGTAAGGACACGTTTTGTAAAAGCGTAACAATGGATCAAAATATAACACCAAAAATAAGGAAGTACATGTAGTGTTACATTATGCATGCATACACAGGCACGGCAGTGGGGCCTCCAAAGGGAGGTTTGAGGATTTCTATTATATTATGATAAAACGAATGAGAAGTTGTGGAAGATTTACATCCTTATGTGATGGTAAGATGTTGCTGAGAATTACAAGACTTTTTAGCTAAGACTTCAATTCACTACTTTGACTTACAGGTTTGAAATGACATAAGAAAACCAAAACATACGTTTACAAACTGGTGGGAAACCAAATACAATATTATCAGATTAGAAATAATGGAGGGAACCATACGTACGTTAACACACTGGAGGTGACGTGGGACACCAGCTGAGCACTATCAAAGGTAGCGAGGCTGGCACCAGACGTAAGGGCTTGGCAGGCTGAAGACGCACTAGACCAGTTGAGAGGGGCACTAGTAACAGCAAGGTAACAGTTCCTTGTCGTAGGGTAGTAAACTCCTCCATAAGGACAGGCGTTGTTAGGAGCTGGAAACGAAGGTTCATGATTAACACATCATACATAAATAGCATTATGCAGTATGTTTAAATTGATAAGACAAAACTTCATCCCAATAAGAGCTCTAAGAAAATGTACACAATCTTCTCAAGGAAAAATAAATGTATAAGTTTCAACAAAGTCATTGATTTTAGCAAACTTGAAAGCGCTTCATTCCAGGAAGCTACTTGTCAAATAACCATCACCTAGACCATTTTGTTATTCAGAAAAGGTTGTTGAAAGTAAAGAGTTGATGCCAGATGTTGAAATCAGCTCATTAGTTTAGGAGGATATGTCTGGACAAGCTTATTTTCATGAACATATCGACCGACCGACCGACAAGCTGATTAAAGTATACCCCAGCTATTTGACCACTAAGTTATGTGCACAATATTGTTATGTGCACAACATTTGTAGAAATTATCTTCATCAATTTTTATGTGCTTATGGTCCGGAAGCCATCATATCAGACAGATGGACACACATACGTATAGTGCCATACTTTATATACTACAAATATCGCTGGAAATTCAGTATTCGGTTTGGTGTAAGCAAATCTGATATGAATTTATGCTCACGTTTTTGGCAGACATAGTTATGTGTGGCAGTGCAGTCTGCACCCTTGAGAGCGTTGGTGCTCAAGTCTATGACTACACACTCCCCGGCAGTGCTATCGGTCACATCCTCAGTGGTGAAGTATGTGTAGGTGTTGTCTGACCAGAGGTAGAAACTGCCATTCTTCTTCGCTTCTATGTATATAGATGTGACTGAAAAAGATTTTTAAAATTGATATTTATAACATTAATGAAACAACACTTAAACTAGCTGCATTTTGTTTGTCTTGAAGAGAACATCCAAAATTATAAGTGCCAATTCTAAACTCCAAAAAGTTCAAGTCTCCAATCCATGAATAGTATTCCTTTGAACTTTGGTAAACATAGCTGTACAGTAACACAAGTTACATTGCAGAAACAGACACGTTTTTATGGACAGACATTGTTTCTGGGGGGAAAAAAACACCTTAAATTTAGTTTACAAATGTGAAATAATAGAAAATGGCATTAAAATGCTGTAGATATAGTAGACACGTATAAACCCATTTTCGCCATACCTGTAGGTGACACACTTAAAATGTTAGTGGCAAACTCAGTGACTTCAGTGGAGTGTTGAATGGTGTTGAGCAGAGAGTTGGTACAAGATGTCACGGCTGTGTCGTAGTCTAGGGCGGAGCTGCTCACTTGAATACACCTTCCCCGTACAAACGTCCATGATGTCTCACAAGAGAAACCTTGAAATGTAATTAATCATTCATTAAAATACACTTGTTTTGGGTTTAACATCCTCCCCACAGCTACAAAGGTCATACTGAAGACAGGTGTCTACCAGGGAGACATTATATAACACTGCGAAACCTGACTTAATCACCTCTAGTAGGATTAAATCATTTGGTAGAATCTGATAGTGTTTATAAAGTCAGCATTGATCCAAGAATTTGTTCTACAACATGTATAATATAAAATCATACAGCTATGACAATAGGATTCAATGGACATTGTCAAATTGAAATTAAGTTCAGATCTCTGGGATGATCCCTAAAGCAGCAAAAAAGTCAATAATGTGAGTGATTTTGGTACACTGTAGCAGACTTTAGCACTGATTTGTCTTACTTGTATTGGATGTGACGCCATTGTCAGGTGACCTGCTCCAATAGAAATCAATGTTTTGACCCATGGTGAAGCTGGCATTGACTGATGCTGTGTTGATAGAACCTTCGTAAGATGATGCTGACAAGGAGACAGACACCTGTGTGTCCGGGGGGTCGACCAGAACAGGTACAGAGGCAGCATCACACGCAGTACTAGCATTGTCATAGTAACAACCAGACACAGTCAGAGTGTAGTGAGCCGGCACGGGATATGTATAGGATATGACAAGTGTGTTACCAGTCACACCCTTAGATATAAGTCTAGATGTATCTCCAAAGTCGAAATAAAATAAATTGATGATGTCCAGGGTAACGTTCACCCTGAAAGTGTAGCTTTGGCCTGCGGTGAGACGAGAGATGGGGTTGAGGATAATTCCCGCTGACACAGTGTTGATATTTGCCAGATAAGTCTTGGTTTCTGAGCTCCCTGCAGAATTTGTGCATGTCGCAGAGTCCTGATCTGCGTAAGTGGCAGTAGAACACGGACAGTTATAATCTAAGGAGACGTTACCACACAGACAATAGCTGGAATCGTAGGAAGCATAAGTTCCGGCCAGTTTGAAACATTCCTCTATACATAATTGTTGGGTGGAGGCAGTTGTTGAGGATACGACAGTAGCATACACGACTGTAGATATACTACCTAAGCCTGTATCACTGTAGCATGAAAAGTAATTTGTAGCACCTGAAAACAACATTAAAACATGCTTATAAACTTTATAATAAACCAAAATAAAATTGGATATCATAGAATATGCAATAAATTAAAATGGTTTTATTTCAATATGACATCATGAAATAAACAAAAACATGAGAAAAAAAATAAAAATTCCAGTACAGTTACGAATCCTTCTGTACAATGCTGATACAACAATAAATAAATAAACATAATATTTTTTGATACCACTATCTGAATAATTTTCTTTTGGAAAAAATATTTTGATAACGGAAATGACTTTATAATTAGTCTGTACCATTTATGTCTCATATTTCATAACAACATTATTTTGCTTGTTTAGCTTCGAACTAATAGAAAGGAAATATGTGAAGTAGCAGCACATCTAGTAATCTTACCCATTCTCATGTCAATGCTATCTAGTAATCTTACCCATTCTCATGTCAATTCTATCTAGTATTCTTACCCATTCTCATGTTAATGCTATCTAGTAATCTTACCCATTCTCATGTCAATTCTATCTAGTAATCTTACCCATTCTCATGTCAATTCTATCTAGCTACCAAAACGTCTACCCAAAATGACTAAATACCTATATTTTTACCCCCAAAGTCTTGCAAGTCTATTTCTTGATCAACACCTGACTGAACATAGAACCCTATGAGTTTAACTATGCTGTACTACCTCTGGAATGACTTGTATGTAATCTTTGTAACATTTCAATTATGTTTCTGATAATTATTTTACATTGTACATATACTGTTAATTCAACGAGATAACATGAGAATAGGCCCTGTAAAACAAGTTGTTGAAAGACTACTGCCAGTTAGTTAGAAGCACAGTGCATGCAGCAGCTTTTACCTGGTATACTAAGACGTTAATGATTTGTAATATTCCATTATAAACACACTGGCTATACAAAAACATTTAAAGCAAAGCTTGGGCAGCATGAGGATGACAGAGGCCATAATCCTTACCATGATAACACACGTCTATATAGGTGTCTTTGTATGATCCCAAGCAATGAAACTACTGTATTTATAAATATCATAAGCAAATACTTTCAAATACTCATTAAGACAACATTTTTATAAAAAAATATATATCTTTTTATATGTAATTTCAATTTAAAAATTAAGTCATTTTCTTTCAAAAAATAAGATTTTATATGACATGCTATTCTCTCTAACATATACAAGAATCCCCACAGGTATGTTTTCATTCTACATAGCACTGTGTTACACTCTCTAGCAAACACATGGGTCTGTGTTTCCAATTTAATCCTCCATTTCTTCGATATACACAAATTTCAAACAATTTATTTCTAAAAGTTTATCATTTATTATGGACAATATCTTTATTATAAGTTTTTTACATTGTGACAAATCAACTGATATTTTCATTCCTAAAATTTATTTTGATTATGATGACAAATCAATTAATTTTGTTATTGCTATGATTTGTTTGAATTCCTGTAACTGATGTATATGAAGAGATGTTGTTTTGATGTGTTTATTGTGTTGTCCTGTGTTAGCTGGGGACGCAAGTTAGGTATGTCCATATTAGTGGGATATGGGTAAGTTATTGCATTAGAATAGGAAAGGTTTTTAAACTTCACTAAAGAATAGAGTTCAAGTTGATCTCCTGAAACTAAGGTAGATATCAAGATACTGTAAATATATTTACAGATTTGCAAGGCTTCACAGAACATAATGATACAACACAAAATGAACTTTGAAAATTTCAGCTATATAAAGCCTATGATACCCAACTCACCCTCCCTGCAGTGTATGGAATTTGAACTTGACACTCGACACATTGCTGGATCAGCTCCATTTCTTTTTTTGCGTATTGAAGGTGAACAGTTAGCTAATATGGTACAAAATGGGATGTATTAGACACACACGTGAAGTATTAAGATAAAATAGGATACAAACAGGGACTGTTTAGGTTTTATGTCAAGAAATATCAACAGTATCACGTATAGAATATGTTAGTTTATAATTACCAGACACCACTGTCCGAAATCAGATTCCGAACAGTTTACTTCACATTTCATTGTTATCCAAACAGGGTGATAGGACATACCATATAACTGAAGTAGAGAATCCCAGTGCTCTGTCAGCTCCAATTTATTTGGCATATGTCTGACTTGGAGTTACTTCCCTTTTCATTACAGCAAAGCGTTAAATATTAACTCACTCATTTATCCCAGACGACACATTTGAACTCTACCATTTCATAGGTTGGAAAGGTTCATTGTGAAATTTCAGGGGTGAATGAGTAATTTATTCATTATATTTTTTTCTCTATCCACAACGGCATAAGGGATTTGAACACCAGGAATTTGATCACCGAATTAAAAATCTCAGGACTTAATCAACTACTCTACTGGATGTGACATTGCTGTGTTGGAATAAATCTTCAAACTCATTATAAAGAATTCTAGCATGTAATTGTCTTGGAAAGAATAACAAGTAAATAACATAAATGTAACAGGATAATGACTTTACATGGCCTGTATACAGAACAGAGTAGTGGGACTCTCTACCCTTACTGATCATCATAATGTTAATCTTAACTGTGCCATAATGAATGATAACAGTGATTTGATTGATGCTCAGATGAACAGGTTAAATAAAACTATGGATAAGACCCATTCCACACTGTTTGTACATTCTGGTGTATGAAGCAGTTAAAGATTGAATTTCTGTAAGATTAAATTTGCTTCAGGTTGGATGAATTTTTTTGTCATTTAATTTCAGATACTGCCTGGAAAATTCTTGAGAGAAAACAAAACAAGTCCAGATAAATTATCTAACGAACAGCCCCTTAGTGATGGGATCCTTAACCCATGTCGAGAACATGCTACCTCAACGCTACAAGTGTTTAAAGAATTCTTATAAATACCAGTCAATATTTTTGAAAGATATTATTTCAGGACTTATTTACATAAGCATTCCCTCAGATAGCGTACCACCCATATGCATTCAAGTTTATAAATCTAAAACATAGCCTGTTAACCACTGTTGATATTTCAGTGTCTGACTTGACACCGCACATTAATCAGTGGGAGAACATTGTCACCTGTGCTACAGGACTCATCAGTCCCAGATTGGTTTGTTTTTCTCTTGTTAACTTCACAGTTAAATACTGTATACTCGTTACAGAGGGCGAAAATGGCGCAAATTAGACTGCAGCAAAAATTCCATAACATACAGTACCTCGTTTGGTGAAACAGAATAAAACTTTGGTGTCACACTTCCATTCAGAAAAGTCAAGTTATGCATTTGAGACAAAAACTAATATTTCTTTTCATCATCCCATGTTATGAATACCTGATCTCGTGAATTTATTGTTTAGTTCAGTCAACCCACTAGAAATTAGAGATTATAATTGAAAATACTCTCTTTGTATTACTAAATTTCAAAACATATTTTCTATGTTATGTACTTCAAAATTACTGATGGTAAATTTTATAAAATTTATTGTAAAAATAGGAACAGAAAGAAATGGATGATTAGAGTATGGATGATTAGAGTATCGACCAGATATACTTTATCAACATATGAGGTTGAGGAACCCATAATAACCACCAACCCTAAGGTTATACAAAATAATACAAATTTGTCAGAAGTCACATCGAACAATCCTGAAAAGGGAAAGGCAAAGTAATGATGGGCTAAACAAATGTTATACCACGGCAGAATGGAGACATAGGAGCTAGCCTCTTGGAATCTGCCTTCCCTTTCTAGGAAATCCATGGGTTTATTTCTTAACTATCAATTAAGAAGAAGAGTAACTTAGTGTCACATGAGGATAATTGGGTTTTTTGTTGTTGTTTTGGTAGCAAAAATTATTCAATAACTACCTATAACGAGTCAAAGAAGCACTTCACAGATAACTAAATAGTTACATGTATGTCTTTTTCAATTTCAAACTTTTTCCTGTAACTATTTATCACAATGAAAGACCCAAAAATATGGATTACATGGTAAGTATCCGCCAAATACATAAAAGGAGTGCTTCTGAAATCAGTCAAATTTCACAAGAAATCAAGTGCGGTGATATTCTGGCCGTGAAAAGAGGCCAGGAAATTACTCGTGATGGCAGTATATGATACAGGTAATTACCTGTAAACCTGTACAATTTCCGGTCTTACAGAGAGTGAAATATCAGACAGACAGTCAGTGGGGATGTATAGGTGTTATTTTCAGAAAACTATTGGGAAGTTAATAAAGAGATAAACCAACAATAAGTAGGGTTTGTATAGTGTTGAGTTGTGGGGATCCCGACACCATATGAAACACCATCTTCACAACAGGACAACTAGATGCTATTTTATTCATAAATGATGCAAATTTATTAGAACAAGTCTTTTTTATGTTTGTTTAGTTTAAATAAGTTAACTTATTGTGGATTGAGATTCAACTCAATCCATTTTATACTCATTAACTAAGTGTTGATTGAGACTCAACTCAATCTATTTTATACTCATTAACTTAGTGTGGATTGAGACTCAACTCAATCCATTTTATACTCATTAACTTAGTGTGGATTGAGACTCAACTCAATCCATTTTATACTCATTAACTTAGTGTGGATTGAGACTCAACTCAATCCATTTTATACTCATTAACTTAGTGTGGATTGAGACTCAACTCAATCCATTTTATACTCATTAACTTAGTGTGGATTGAGACTCAACTCAATCCATTTTATACTCATTAACTTAGTGTGGATTGAGACTCAACTCAATCCATTTTATACTCATTAACTTAGTGTGGATTGAGACTCAACTCAATCCATTTTATACTCATTAACTTAGTGTGGATTGAGACTCAACTCAATCCATTTTATACTCATTAACTTAGTGTGGATTGAGACTCAACTCAATCCATTTTATACTCATTAACTTAGTGTGGATTGAGACTCAACTCAATCCATTTTATACTCATTAACTTAGTGTGGATTGAGACTCAACTCAATCCATTTTATACTCATTAACTTAGTGTGGATTGAGACTCAACTCAATCCATTTTATACTCATTAACTTAGTGTGGATTGAGACTCAACTCAATCCATTTTATACTCATTAACTTAGTGTGGATTGAGACTCAACTCAATCCATTTTATACTCATTAACTTAGTGTGGATTGAGACTCAACTCAATCCATTTTATACTCATTAACTTAGTGTGGATTGAGACTCAACTCAATCCATTTTATACTCATTAACTTAGTGTGGATTGAGACTCAACTCAATCCATTTTATACTCATTAACTTAGTGTGGATTGAGACTCAATTCAATCCATTTTATACTCATTAACTTAGTGTGGATTGAGACTCAACTCAATCCATTTTATACTCATTAACTTAGTGTGGATTGAGACTCAACTCAATCCATTTTATACTCCTTTTGTAACCTCAAAAATACCTCATTCCAGTAAAAGCTACCACAAGGCTCAAACCCATAACTTCAAGGTAAATGAGATAATTAATTAATCCACCTATTTTTTTTTACCTGCAACAAGAAAGTCCACCATCCATTTAAATGACCCCACATTAATTTAAGGCCATTCCACCAATTGCAGAAACAAGATTTATGACCAACTATACAATGAGGTGGGGACAATTATTATTTTATCTGATCTTTTACTATATAGTGATTCATAGTTCCAAAAGCACTAACAAAATGAATTCATGTTAAGCGAAGTGTGAGCATAGTAAGTCTCTATGTTACTGGGAAATTAAGCTAACTCAGTATGAGGGAGATTCACAGTAATGTCGGAATTGGGACCAGAACACATATAAGTTAAGGTTATCAAATCTTTTCTTTAATACTCCAGTTTTGTTTCTGAAATGTATGTATGACACATTGCCTAATACTACTTATTGTATGTATTGTTTATACCCTACATTTAAATTAATTATAGTGTTAACAAAAATATTCCTTTCAAAAAATGAAAAAATGTAAGTGACATTTTAAGTTTTGTGGCCCATCATCTGTATGCATTAGATTTTAATGTGCATTTCGTATCTGCTAATGAAAGTTTATTACTTAATTAAAAGCCTCGTATCATATGACGTCATATGAAATGCACTAATAAATGATGACAGGCATGCTTGCACTGTTCACATGCGATATCACTAAGTGTTTCTCCTCGTTACTGGAGAAAACCGTTTTCTTTAGTCCTATATGATCATGCATGTTAAATCAGAGATCTATCATACATATTAATTATTTCAGAACCATGCCAGCTGAGAAGCAAAAAAAAACAACCCAACAAATGCTAGCTGTGAATGTCTGTTTAAAACATGGAAAGAAATCTCTGACAATTTTTATTGAAATATTGTAATAGTGATTTTAACTAAATAAAACTCTTAATAATAAGAGCCAGTTTGGTGCGTAAGCACCAGTGTACTCCTAGGATCTGAAACAAAAATTCATTAATAACTTAACTAACACACATTTTCTAAGTAAATCATCATATTGTACCAGATCAGTCCATAGTTGCAGCATACTAAACTTTAATCCTTTTCTTCAGAACTGTATTCAAAATAACTATTGTATTTAAATTTCAGCCTTAATCAATTAAATAATCTGGTTTGCTAAATAAAATCCAGATCATTAAATTTTCAAAATTTCCGAGTTGAAATTAGTTCCTGAAATACGCTGAAAGTTTTCCAGATAGCTGGATTGTGCTTAAAAGACTTTAACTCATTCACCCCTGAAGACACATTTGAACCCCTCCAATTCAAAGGGTGGAATACGAAATTTCAGGGTGAATGAGTAAACTGTTATACAATCAATGATCATGAGTATGACACAGAAGTTGATCACTTAGAGAACTTGTCACTGTTTCAAACTAAATTTCTAACCCTGTTTGTCTAGACATTTTGGTTTCTTTATACATCAGTGCCTTGTTGGTCTAGACATTTCAGATTCTCTATAAAGTACGTGGAACTTCATTCATCAGAACCTTGTTAGTCTAGACATTATGGGTTCTGCATAAATTGGAACCTTGTTAGTCTAGACTTTTAATTTTCTGCATAAAGTGGAACCTTGTTAGTCTAGACATTTTGAATTCTTTATATACCAGAATCTTGTTAGTCTGGACAATCTGAGTTAGGTATACAGAGGCACCTGGTTAATCTGATATCATACTCTTAATACTTTGGGTTTTGTTAATAATAAAACAAATACATCTACAATCTTACTTATCTAACAAGGCCACAACTACATGGGTTTTTACGGTAACAATTTCTTCTTACAATTTCATAAATGATTTCATGAAGATAAACAGTCAAAATAGAATGAATCTACGTGTCGATACCCAGGTCACTACAAACCTCAATAACTATATTTAACTAATATATATACAGTACATAATTAATATACCAGAAATGGTATCATCTTAACACTAAAACTTAAACAACAAATCAGCATCTCGGCTCATCGTGATCCGTGTCAACACATCTCGGTAATCCAAAAATAACCTAGAGGTTGTTAAAATCTGTTTATATTTATAATTTCTCCTGCACACCTACGAGGGTTTTCTATTTCATCCTACAACTAGGGTCCAGATCTATACAATATGGTAGCATACACCTGTCTGATACCACTTTAGTAGAGTTCCCATTCTAATGCCACTATCACAATTATTAGCCTGAGGTGAGTGTTTGTTCATTTGTAATATTGTTCTGTTTTAGAAAGAAAGTGCACATCATTATTCTATATCACTTGTAAAGAATACAGATTTTAACACAATGTCTACATCATATGCTGTTAACAGTTTCATAAATATTGCAGTAATCACTAATTTGACAAGACAATCTATGTATATGAACAAAAAGCAGAAGTTTGTGTTATCCTATAGAACACAAGCATTACAGTATTCATGCAGAACGTCTATTAATGACAGGCGTGACTTGGTAAGTACACTTGTGAGTTGACTAGGCAGAATTACCTTTGCACCCTTTGTTTGATGAAGTTTTATATAAAGAAACAAAAAAAAAAGAGAGAAAAAAGTTAATTTCACATAAAAAATAAAACTTAACAAAAATACATGAACACTTTACATGAAAAACAGCACAATTTACAAACAAACAAACAACCAAAAGTTATATTTCAACACTATGACCCCCACCCCTGTACCTGCAAAACCCCAAGAATGCACCCACCCACCTTATACATGCATAAGGGTCTGAATCTCTAAAATCAAGGCAATTACCCGTTTTCTAAAACTTGCCCATGATCTATCCTTTTCAATCAAGTTTAGTGCTAGAAAATGGAGTAGCCCGAAAGTCTGAGACTAGTGAAATCTACAGATTGACTAGTGGTTTGAGAAACCACGAGCGTGATTGACAAGTTAAAATTTGATACATGAGAAACTTATCGTGTTGAATAATACAGGGTTCGTGGAATTTCCACATCGAAAAGTAAAATTTGAATCTACTAGCCTGATTGGCTAGTGGTTTTGAAAATTTGTTTCTAGTCCTTAAGTTTTAATAACAATTTATGTGATTATGGAGCAATTTACCTCTTTGTCCTTAATATAAAGTAATCCAATGATGGCCAAATATACAAACACTTCTTCATTGGAACTAAGGTCTATTCCTCATCTTTCTCCAAAATGACCTCCAAGGTCATATTTTGCCTCTATGTCCTATTTAACGTTAAACAATGTATTTCATCCTGTTTCCTAGCGGGACATTTCAGGACTTTTCTCACTCTTTGTTCTAAGTAAGTGTGACACCCTGTTGGTCCTAAATGGCAGTGGAACATTAAGGGTATGTGCTTTCTCTTTGTCCTAAAAGCCTGTGATTTTGACAAAGTGTCTTTCTACTAATCATTATACTTTCCCTGAAAGGCTGTGATTTTGACAAAGTGTCTTTCTACTAATCATTATTCCATATAGATATACTTTCCCTGAAAGCCTGTGCTCGTCTAGCACCATGCTGTTAACACCCCAAACATGGTAACCTGGGAAACCACACCAAACAGCAACGATGTAAACAAAAACAGTTTGTATCATACATGTACATGAAAAGCATGTTAAGCATGAACTAGCCCTATGTTTATTTAATTGTAAAAGCTCCGCAACCCAAAACAAAACTCCAATCCATTGCTTCTTACTTCCTGAGACCGATCGTTTGACCACCGACACTTCAATCGGACTAGCATCATTGCACGTTCCCCAACATAAGCAGTCAGGTGTTTGCTTGCACAGGCAAGCTGAAAAGGTCATTTGACAATGACAATCACCAATTAAACTGAAGAAGTCTATGAAAAACATTATAACCTCTTTTTTATAATTGAAACAGAAATTCACAGCAACAGAACATCACATTTGACAATCTCTGTAATAGAAGTGATATATACAGGCCTGTATTCTGTAAAATGAGAACAACTCTCCATAATTATGAAACAAACAATGATAAACAACCTCTATAACTATATATTGATTTTAATGAGGGTACCTGCTATTATATTATCAGTAGTATTAAAGTATTCATATGACTAACAATAAAATAGTGTTAAATATTCAAATGTACATTGTATTCAACTTAAGAAGCCCCCTTGGTGCTTTATAATTTCAGAAAAAATGAATTATTGAAGAACATTCCAAAAGTCCAAAAATGATAGCCATTATCTATAAAAAGGATGGGAGCACTTATTAACTTAAATATGATACACATTTTATCATAGTTTTTACACAATTAATACATATCATCATCAACGTTTCTAACGATTCAGTATACCTACATTAACATTCAAAACAATGTTGACAACTGTACTTGGTATTTACGATTTGAACACATAGAGCAATACTTACATAAAAACTGTGAGTTGAGCGAGAGAAGAACCTGGCTTGCTGGGTCTGTACAGGTCGTATTTTGCCAGTTTATCAGTGTTTTCCCTGCACTGTTGTTGAAGGTGACTAGATATTCTATAAATGGTTTCAGAGAACACTGACACACCCAATCATTGTAAGCAATATTTCTGAAAAAAAGTAACAGATTTTGTTCCTCTTCCTTTTCATTGACTACACAAATATATAAACTGCCATGTTTATAACAGGCTTAAAGGAATACGTATATAAGCCATATCAATGCTATATAACGTGTAAAATCTCAAGTCTCTTTCCCTCCACCATCAGTTTTCCATTCAGTTAATACCTGTCAGGCCCGACTACAAATTTTTATGTTAGATGCGAAAATATTTCAAACTAGACAGGTCTGACAATAATCCACATCATAAAATTGGAATTGTTCAAGAGTATTCCACAATTATCAAACAGCTGCGGAATATTTTTCACATGGATCAAATTGAATGGAGCCGAAACCAAATGTATGATAACTGACAATTATTTTCATTCATCATATGATTTAGATACAATTTTAAATACTATTCGAAAGATTTGATGACATAATCATTCTGTAAAAGAGGTGTGCATGACCCTGAACAAGGATACTTACAGACTAGTCAAAGAGGTGTGCATGTCCCTGAACAATACTTAGACTAGTCAAAGAGTTGTGCATGTCCCTGAACAATACTTACAGACTAGTCAAAGAGGTGTGCCTGTCGCTGAACAAGGATACTTACAGAGTAGTCAAAGAGGTGTACATGTCCCTGAACAAGGATACTTAGACTAGTAAAAGAGGGGTGCATGTCCCTGAACAAGGATTCTTAGACTAGTCAAAGAGGTGTGCCTGTCGCTGAACAAGGATACTTACAGACAACTCAAAGAGGTGTGCATGTCCCTTACAGACTAGTCAAAGAGGCGTGTATGTCCCTGAACAATACTTACAGCCTAGTCAAAGAGGTGTGCATGACCCTGAACAAGGATACTTAAAGACTAGTCAAAGAGGTGTGCATGTCCCTGAACAAGGATACTTACAGACTAGTAAAAGAGGTGTGCATGTCCCTGAACAATATGTACAGACTAGTCAAAGAGGTGTGTATGTCCCTGAACAATACTTACAGACTAGTCAAAGAGGTGTGCATGTCCCTGAACAAGGATACTTACAGACTAGTCAAAGAGGTGTGCATGTCCCTGAACAAGGATACTTACAGACTAGTCAAAGAGGTGTTCATGTCCCTGAACAAGGAAGCATTCAGAAATCCCAGTCTGTTGTTACTTATATCACTGTAAAACAGAATAAAACCATGGTCATTGAAAACAGCAAACAGGAGCTCTCCGAGCCATACCCTCAGTAAAGCTTTTGTATATTGAAAGTAACTTGATATCTGACTTGCTGGCAACCTATAATATATGTTACTTTAACCATAACCTTTGACCTCTTGTGACAATGACCTTATATGTAGGGACATGTCTGTGGTATAGTGCCACACACTGTCTTGTCATAGTTGATAGATACATAAAATCTTATCGGTTCCGAAGTTACAATCCGGACAAGATCTGGACGGCCGAGGAAACTAAATGTTTATAGTTGAGGGTCCCAGTATAAATATTGAAATGACAGGTGTACTCACAGGTACTGCAGTGACGACAGGCCATAGAATGTCTCCACTTCTAACGAATGTATCTGGTTGGAACTTGCATCTCTGAAATTACACACATGATAACCCCGTTAAAGACATGAATGACGTTGGTACCAAGTATGTAACATTCATACACACTATTTTAAGGGTACAATCAACACACAAATAATGAATATTTTGCTATCCTCACAACAAACTGAATCTTAAATTGTAAGGGAGATAATCATTTATAAAAATAAAAATATGTTTCTTTGATTGTAGAAAGGTTCATGAAGCACAACCAGTCGAGTGTTTACGTGTGACATTTCGACAATTACCAGTAGTAGTTTATCTGACAAAGGTGAGGGAGTATATACTCTACTTGTCATCGCAATGTCACACATAAACACTGATCTGATTGTCCTACATGAACCTTTCTAACAACGCATACTTACCAACATGAAGAAAATGTTTCCTCACAATCTTAATTTCAATTTTTGAAAATTGCATTTCAAACATACCAAAAAACAAAACAGTAAAGTTTGTACACAAAATAAAAAACATTTACCAGGTATATGATAAGTGACTGTTTTTAAATGAGTACAAATAGTTGCAAAATAAAACAAATACACTATACTAACATGTAACATCAATCTCACAAAAAAACATAATACATGTAGATTACATTCTGAGAAATTTTCCCGATATTCACTTAAATCAAATTCGATCAGTTTTCCTTTCTTAATTTGCATTTTCACTTCTTTTAGTCAAAATTGGAACAAACGGGAAATATTATTGTTATTACCAGGGTATTAAAAAAAATCCCGGCTATATTAATGATTGTGTTTGCCATACCTTGCCACAAAGAATCAAATATAATATCAATAAATTACATGTTTACGACAGGATAAAGCCGGAAATTATCTTTCTTTGTAAAATCAAAAACATATTACATAGAGCCAATCACAAATTTTATAAAATTGAGTGTTATGGTAAAATATCATGTAATTAAAAATTTTAAAAATTGTTAAGACTTCTAAGTAAGCATACTCTTTCAAAACAATTGATTTAAACGTCATTCAACATTTTGTTTCTTGATACAGACTTTGGTTATTACGCCACATTAAGTATGATTGAGGTGTAGGGAAGTCACAACTACTGTGCTATGTCAGTACATCACTGAGGTGTGTACTTTAGTTTTGCATAGAAAAGGAAGTGCTGGAAATTGGTGGTTTCAAAATATTTATTTGTACAAAACATTATTTGTACAAAACATAAATAAATAAATTGCTTTTTTTCTGCAAAGAAGTAATTAGTGCTGATGCACTTCTCCCATTGGTTGTGATAACAAAAACCTGTAAAGTCAGTGAAGTTAATGGGATTAGTTCCACAGGTAAATGATGTATTTAAATATTAACTTGTCTCTTGGAATAAAAAGACATTATAGTGTGCTATAAGAATTATTTTCCAGTATTAAAATAAACAAAAGGACTTGATAAATAAGAGGCCAAAGAAGCCTGAATCGCTCACCTGTTATTGAATTATTATTATTTTCTATTTACATTTTAACACCTCGGCTAATTTGATTTTGAATGTGGATTGAAGTCATTTTAATAAATTTGATAGTATTTCATCCCAGCAAGTTCAATAAGAAGAAATCATATTGCGTATTTTAAGACATTTGATTCATATGACCTTAAAGATTGTCAAGGTCATTCATTTGAACAAAAGTGATATCCCTTTGTCCCAGCATGTTACAGGCTTATTATCATCGCCGAATGGCCCTTGGCTCTTGTTTGAAGATTTTATCATAGTTGACTCCAGGAAATGCAATCTTTAGTTTGAAACGAAGTCATTTCTTTGTGCAAACCTGAGAGTTCTTCATCCAAGCAAGATACTTTGCATTTGTCATCACTCCAGGTGTTGCTGTTCTTGAGGAAACGTTATTTGAACATTTTGATAATTTGACCCCTTGTCATTTATTTGTATAACCACAAGGTGCCTACCCAGCGAGCTACTACCCAAATATCACTACCCAAAGCTTACGGTTATTAAGGAGTCTTTAAGGTTGATTAATGAGAGAGTTAGCTTTGGACGACAGACGCTATGCCACTGTGTGCCAGTTAAAGTAAAAAAAGTTATTAGATCTCATCTGCAATGTTGTAACACTACAAAGGTTATTTGTGTCAGGATTAGACGGCAGAGTACGTTGTTCTCCTTACTTACAGCATAGTTAGATTGGGATTGGAGGAAAAAGCATCACTGGGGATATAACTTATATTATTCCCTCGCAGATACCTGTAAGTAAAGAATTGGTGGCAACACAATCAGAGTGTGGCCAATAACACCCTTCTACCTAGATCACAGGAGTACCTGTGTAGTATACACCTGACTGTGTGTTACCTGTACATTACACACCTGTCTGTGTGTTACCTGTATATTACACACCTGTCTGTGTGTTTCCTGTACATTACACATTTACACCAGTATATATATTTATATATGTCACACAAAGTCACAAGCTTCAACTGATCATTTTGAAATAAACTGAGAAGTGGCACCATTAAATTATATTAAAACTTTTTTTTTAAAGTATCCTCAAAAATTTCATTTTTATGAAAATTCTTAAATTTCATGAATATTTCTTCTAACCCCAAATAGAAGGAAACAAAAGTTTCAGCTACCTTAAAACTAAACCTACTGTTACACTTTGGAAGTTTTTAACAAGTGTCCAAGCTTTAAGAATGTTGTAGCACATTGTGTTGAAAAATCAAAGATTTAATAGGACTTTAATATTATACTCAATTTATCAGTTGAAACTTGCAGTTCACAGTAGGCCCATAACCATACAGATGTTGTCTTAAAATAGCTAGAAGAATTTTCTCTTATATGCTAAACACCATACACCATCATCATCAACCTGATGTCATAGATATATAGATAACCTGATACAATAGATATATAGATAATTGATGTAACATGATATGAGAAAACATTTCAAATTTACAGTTGGGACTAAATATATACTACCACACATAGACCCGTAGCCCTTTGGATAAGATCATACAGGGAACAAAAGATTGAAGTTGAGGAATATTTGACCTTCTTATTCTACAAGGTCATCCAGGTTTCTAATAAAGAACAACTAATATAAATCATCTACTCTTGATTTATCAGCAAACAGCTAAACCTTGTTCTCTCAAATGGAAATCTTAGATTTTAACACATTCTGAATATAAGGAAAGACTTGAGTTTCTTCTGGTCAGTGAAACAGCCATTTATAAAAAAAGAAAATACCTTTCAATTTCATTAGATGCCTTAATAAATACGGAAAATGGATGCAGTTCTACTGTCATTACATCTACATATACATGTATGTCCCTAATTGACTAATTTAATGATTGACAATATTCATAAGAATTCAAACCAATAGAACACATCACACAGTTGAAGACCCACTGCCACTATGGTAACACTAGCTGTGACTTTATAGACTTACAGATTCTCCAGCAGCCTCAGGTTGGTGAACAGGTAAGGTGGAAGACTGGTGAGATTCATTTTGTTTATATACCTGAAAGGTAAAAAACATACACAATCAGCTCCATCTGATAGCAGGCACAATCACATGATTTTCGATGCCATACAAGTGTTCTTTTGCAGAATGGAATTTTTGGCTGTCACATGCAGAGGCTTTCATTTGTGCATGCAAACTGTCCAAAAACACCCTAGTTTGACTATTTCTGCATAGCAGCGCAGTTTTGTTGCTATGGTGGAACATCTATGCATGCACAATGAAAAAATCTGCACCAGGAAAGATAGCCCCAATTAATTAATATGACGTTGGCAAAAGAAATTGGTACATAAATCAAAGTTAAAATGTTTACTTTTTGTGAGGCCAAAAATGACCCTAAACACCCCCAAGTCCTTTCATTATTTTTGGAAATTAACACCAAAATATTGATATCATTAACCTAACAATGGTAACATTTTGTCAGCTAACCTATGGATTAATGAGAGATGATCAGATACCAAACTCAAACCATTCCTGTGTATATATACTTGTATAGACAAGTTGATCCAAGTTCTAAGATATGACCTATGTGGCCTAACTGCGCTTAAAGCTGTACTCGGCATTTTGTGCATTTCACATCAAAGTGTCCCTATTTATGGACAGACGTGGTTTGATCATGTCAGAGATAACAGGCTGCTAACACTGCAACAACCAAATCTTGTATTTTTTAAACCAGAGGTGGTAATGATTGAAGTTGCTAATATTCAACAACTAGGTTTTAACATATTTGATCGTAAATCATTAAAAATGGATTGGTCACAAGTTGTAACCACTAGGTAATATGGTGCTGTAGATAATTGTTTTTGGATATGAGTAACATTTCTTCTTATTGCATCATTTTATGTACATAATTCATTAGTTTATTTTTATCTAAAGGTTCAGGATAAGACTAATGAATAATGTGTCATAAATTAAATGTACTATGCTTTGAAGTGTATCTAAAACAGCTTCTAGGAACTTTTTTAGCATTGTTTAAGTTTTAAGTCACAGTATGCTATATAGTTAATGAAGAAACCCACAATAAACAGAAATGAATAATGATGATATCACAGAAGATGTGGCAAAATGAACAAAAATAAATTGATGTTGCAATAAACAATACCAAAAAATATATTTGGAAACTGCCACCATTTATTTCATATACTAACACCTTTACAAAGATAGCATGACTACTCAAAATTATATATATGGTATATGCTGATCAAAATTGTAATGCTCACATTGACTGCTGTAATATATACACAATGTATTATGTAAATTTTTGTTGCTGTCAACATCGACTTTAAACCAGTAAATTAATATGTAATTGAAATTAATTACATTGGGAAAATAATGGTAATTTCCCTAATAACATTGCCAATTAAGTGTAATTGTAATTGCATATTTGCGAGGTAATTTGTAATCTAATTAATTACACAGCTATGTACTTGAACCCATGCCTGGTATATATACAAGTACATGTACATTATATTGTGCGTGGATCAGGGGAGATAACACCTCTGTGACAAACACATCACAATTGATATTATGTCATCCAAACAAATTCTGAAAGGAATGCATAGTTAGATCTCTTACAAGGTTGATAAATGCACAAATAAATGAAAAAGTCTGGTTTTTGTTGAATAGAATAGACAAGTTAACAATTACAGTTATTAATCAAATTTGATAAACAATCCTAACAGACAGTAATTCTTTAATTAATGTGGCATGCAATTTATTTGATTGACACTCCATTCAATCAATTGCAGAAGTTCACATAATTACAGACCATTTTGAACTATGAGAACTTAAAGTAGGCAATAACGATGAAATCACGGCAATAAACACTGCCCAAGATTGGCTATAGCATGATATAAATCACACCACAGAACCCAACATGTCGATTTATGACAAACAGACTTGTAATGAATACTGTGCCAAGGTCAGTACTGGTATAAATGTAGGCCCAGCATGTTTACATGGTATTATTACAAAAATTGTTATGTTCTCAGTATGATTTCAGTACAGTCATGCTATCTCTACGCTAGTGCTACAAGGTTTACTATCGGCTACACATCATTTAACATACCATACAGATCTTTAGCCCCAATACTCTATCTGATTAAAACTCAGGTATTTTCTGTGTTAAAACTTTGGCATTTCTTGTCATTAAAACAACATTATTACAATCAAAGTTTACTGTCTAATTGAATTTGTCTGCTAGCACAATAAAAATACATGTTAGTTATCTGGACTTTTATTAGTTTTTAAAAGAGTAGAATCAAACTTCTTTAATAAAACTTTTTTTCATTTACATTTCTAGGACAAACATTTTGAGCAATAAATTTCACATTTTTTGTTTGTTTGTGTAGAACCAATTTTGGGACTTAATTTAAACTTCCTGTATTGTATGTTTACTTCTGAAATGATAACAACCCTGAGGTATTTGCATTACTGTGTTGATCATTGCTTAAAGCAGCTAGAGCTCAGAATTTGAACTCATCAAGTATTGTTTGATCTATTACAAGTTATACATCTTATAACACACTGCAGGTAGTTTTTTTCTGAACATTTTCTTCAGGTTGGTAAGTATGGATTATGAGAAGTTCTTTATACACATCGATTTTATGGACAACTCGTACACATTTTACACCTGTGTGTGCATACGCTTCATTGGTCATTTGTCTGATGAAGGTGACAGTGTACATATCGTACTAGTCATCGAAACGACACATAGAAAATTGTATTGGTTGTGTAAAAAACAAAATAATATTACAAAAAGGGTAACAAGTTAAGACTTCTGCACTAACTTTTATAATCATTTACTAAAATCATTTATAGAAATCTTAAAATAATTTCTATAAACTCAATTAATTAATTAATTAAAATATAATCTATACAGTATTTTAGGAGAAACCCTGTCAAACGTTTGCCTACAGACACATAACCACACAGTGACAATTTGACTCCAGTAAAATTACTCCCAATATCTGTAGTATAAACTTTTTATTTCCTAAAAATACATATCTACAATTTGAATAAAACTGAAAAAGGATCTGGAAACAAATTAAGAAAAAACTTGTATAAATCTGTTTCCTTCTGTGACAAAACTTTTGCGTAATGGACAGTATATGGTATACTATGTACAAGGATATGGTAACAATAAACTTACCAACAAGTTTTTAATGGGTTTTGTAGTTTAGAAATCTTTTATACAGGAGAAGCAATGTCACACTAAGCTAGCATACACCCTTATATCAAAGATATACTTACAATGTGGTGATACTACTAGATGAGGTGAACATTAGCCTCTCAAATGATGTCACAGGATTATTTGACAAGTCTCTGTGGAAAAAAACATAAAAAGATTGTTAAACTAATTCACAGGATTATTTCTATTCTCTGTGGAAAAAATAAATTCACCTTCAATTTTACNGCAATAAACACTGCCCAAGATTGGCTATAGCATGATATAAATCACACCACAGAACCCAACATGTCGATTTATGACAAACAGACTTGTAATGAATACTGTGCCAAGGTCAGTACTGGTATAAATGTAGGCCCAGCATGTTTACATGGTATTATTACAAAAATTGTTATGTTCTCAGTATGATTTCAGTACAGTCATGCTATCTCTACGCTAGTTCTACAAGGTTTACTATCAGCTACACATCATTTAACATACCATACAGATCTTTAGCCCCAATACTCTATCTGATTTAAAACTCAGGTATTTTCTGTGTTAAAACTTTGGCATTTCTTGTCATTAAAACAACATTATTACAATCAAAGTTTGCTGTCTAATTGAATTTGTCTGCTAGCACAAAAAAAATACATGTTACTTATCTGGACTTTTATTAGTTTTTAAAAGAGTAGAATCAAACTTCTTTAATAAAACATTTTTTTTCATTTACATTTCTAGGACAAACATTTTGAGCAATCAATTTCACATTTTTTGTTTGTTTGTGTAGAACCAATTTTGGGACTTAATTTGAACTTCCTGTATTGTATGTTTACTTCTGAAATGATAACAACCCTGAAGTATTTGCATTACTGTGTTGATCATTGCTTAAAGCAGAGCTCAGAATTTTAACTCATCAAGTATTGTTTGATCTATTACAAGTTATACATCTTATAACACACTGTATGTAGTTTTTTTCTGAACATTTTCTCCAGGTTGGTAAGTATGGATTATGAGAAGTTCTTTATACACATCGATTTTATGGACAACTCGTACACATTTTACACCTGTGTGTGCATACGATTCATTGGTCATTTGTCTGATGAAGGTGACAGTGTACATATCGTACTAGTCATCGAAACGTCACATAGAAAATTGTATTGGTTGTGTAAAAAACAAAATAATATTACACAAAGGGTAACAAGTTAAGACTTCTGCACTAACTTTTATAATCATTTACTAAAATCATTTATAGAAATCTTAAAATAATTTCTATAAACTCAATTAATTAATTAATTAAAATATAATCTATACAGTATTTTAGGAGAAACCCTGTCAAACGTTTGCCTACAGACACATAACCACACAGTGACAATTTGACTCCAGTAAAATTACTCCCAATATCTGTAGTATAAACTTTTTATTTCCTAAAAATACATATCTACAATTTGAATAAAACTGAAAAAGGATCTGGAAACAAATTAAGAAAAAACTTGTATAAATCTGTTTCCTTCTGTGACAAAACTTTTGCGTAATGGACAGTATATGGTATACTATGTACCAGGATATGGTAACAATAAACTTACCAACAAGTTTTTAATGGGTTTTGTAGTTTAGAAATCTTTTATACAGGAGAAGCAATGTCACACTAAGCTAGCATACACCCTTAAATCAAAGATATACTTACAATGTGGTGATACTACTAGATGAGGTGAACATTAGCCTCTCAAATGATGTCACAGGATTATTTGACAAGTCTCTGTGGAAAAAAACATAAAAAGATTGTTAAACTAATTCACAGGATTATTTCTATTCTCTGTGGAAAAAATAAATTCACCTTCAATTTTACATCTAAGTAAATGGTCAAATATTTTACAATTTTATTTTGGTATAAAGAACATCTTACACCACGTATATATGCTGATATTATCTGTTTTATTATATAAATATATGAGGATTGTACAGAGTACATATCATATATACAAAACACCATAGCTATAGCTACAAATCTTCAGAAATGAAGGTTGTACAACTTTTTAAAATGCTCTCATGTTTATTTTTTCCATTGTGCAATTTCAAAAAGATATACCGCTACACTGTCAACTAAAGTAAAACCTGTGAACAGAGATTTCCAATGTCAGGTAGGATACTTACAATGTGGTGAGTAATGGAACTTCAAAGGATTTATCCTTGAACTTGGTTATCAAATTCCCCGCAAGACTCCTGTAAAAGCAAGACCGAAAACCTATACATAGGACTGCACGATTTATTGATAACTCCTTTATTCTTTGTATGGTATCATTAAGATTTATCCTTCAAAAGTCATTTAGCAAAGGTCTTTGAACGTTAAGGCTCATATAATGTATCATAATTTCAAGGATGTATTTTGCATTTCTTACGTTGGTGAATAAATCAGCATTTTGATGTGTATTTAATTCGAGCTGAGCAAAGCTGTAATATTCTACAATAACCATATGGTCACCGACCATACTTACAATGTCTGCAGGTTCGTCGTAGATTTGAAAGTTGTGGCATCTATTTCTGTAAACTTATTGTATGACAAGTCCCTGAAAGGAAAAACAATGTAATTAGAATAATAAACCCCTGATCATTTATATAGAACAATAGATCCCTGATAATTTCTATAGTGTATTGATCAGAGTAGGTAAGGGGATAGGTATAGCATTCTTAGAACAAGGTCAAATGGACCAAGAGCTTATCTCAAATTTTACACTCTTACGCAGAAAATTTCACTAAAAATGTTGAATGTCTTTAATGAAGAGATGTGATTTATATCAAACATGAGTTATAACAGAAATGTACCAACATGGTCAAGAATACAACAATATCCTCCCGATAAAGTTAATTATCACATTGTCAATACCGCCGATAAAAGGTTGACAAAACATGCTAAAGAAAATGACAAACGAACAAATGAAAGGACAAATGTCAACTTGAAAAGGTATCCTGATTAAGATTTCAATATCTAGTCACATAGAATAAGGCACTATCTACCTCTTACATCACATTCATCCAAAGTGAAGAAAGGGATATTGTTGTTGACATGTAATATTAATGGTTCCCTAGAGAAATTACACTTATAAAATAACAAATCTTTTGGAAGATACGACAGATGTGTACATACATCAGATAGAGATTAGTAGATTTCATTGTCAGTAAATTGACATTATATATATAAAAAGAAATAGACGAAAAAAACTACAAATATACAATTAACTGTTCTTGTAGATTAAATTTCAGATTCCTGTATAAAATTAAATAGAATATTGTCGGTACGTAGTCCCAAACTTTGATACTTACAAAGTGATCAGACTTGTCATAGAATAAAACGTATTGGCACCAATGTGAGTAATACTATTTTGTGAAAGGTTTCTGAAAGGAAAACAAAGGTTAACATTATTGTAACATGTCAAATACTGCATTGATAACTAAAATTGCATCAGATCTACCCATTTTTATTTAACTTTGATTAATAAAAAGGTGAAACATGAACTTTTTTTATTTCACAAGCAAAATCATTTTAAAAGTTAAATTAATGCATCAGAATTCGTAACAAATGAATAATCTATTCCACTTGAAATTTCGTTAAATCTTATGATTTTTTTTACAATATAAAACAATCATTTAAATTCTTTTAACATATATTTTTATCAATCAAAAAGTCTATGACATTTTTACAGTTAAGGTAAATATTGTAATGAGCCACAGAAAATCAGTAATTTTTTATTGTTACATTTTATTACACAAATAATATTATTAAACGATACACTACACCAAAGATATTTACAGTACATCCCCTCTTTATATCACTTGTCATTTGCTGGAAGAAAAATGTGATATCATGTGGAACATGACATTAAAAGAGGATTTTTTTCTGATATTCTTCAACTACATTAACACAACACAACTATCTTTATACACAGGTACATTTTCTTTGATTTATTTGGTCCAAATAAAGAGATATGAAGGGGAGGTTACCCCAAAGTGAATCACATAATCAAACACACATATAAATTATATAGTGGAGACAAACAGTGTTCATGGAAATATAACTTAAAGTCAACAGATATAAAGCAATGTGACAAAACATAAATGCATCACATGAAACAACAGTACCGCATATTGACCCCTTCACTGATCCTACTACTGACCATATCACTGACCCTATCAATGACCCTATCAATGACCCCATCAATGACCCTATCAATGACCCCATCACTGATCCTACTACTGACCATATCAATGACCCTATCAATGACCCCATCAGTGACCCTATCAATCACTGCCCCTATCAATGACCCACTGACCATATCAATGACCCTATCAATGACCCCATCAGTGACCCTATCAATGACCCCATCACTGATCCTACTACTGACCATATCACTGACCCTATCAATGACCCCATTAATGACCCAATCAATGACCCCATCACTGATCCTACTACTGACCATATCACTGACCCTATCACTGACCCTATCAATGACCCTATCAACGACCCCATCACTGACCCTATCAATGACCCCATCACTGACCCTATCACTGACCCCATCAGTGATCCTACTACTGACCATATCACTGACCCTATCACTGCCCCTATCAATGACCCAATCACTGACCCTATCAATGACCCCATCACTGACCCTATCTCTGACCCCATCAGTGATCCTACTACTGACCATATCACTAACCCTATCACTGACCCTATCAATGACCCAATCACTGACCCTATCAATGACCCCATCACTGACCCTATCAATGACCCCATCAGTGATCCTACTACTGATCATATCACTGACCCTATCACTGATCCTACTATTGACCATATCACTGACCATATCAATGAACTCATCACTGATCCTGCTACTGACCATATCACTGACCCCATCATTGACCATATCACTGACCCTATCAATGAACCCATCACTGATCATATCACTGACTCCATCAATGACCCCTCCACTGACCCCATCAGACCCTATCACTGATCTCATCACTGACCCATCAATGACCCCATCAATGACACCATCACTGACCTCATCACTGACTCCATCAATGACCCCTCCACTGACCCATTCAGACCCCATCACTGACCCCATCAATGACCCCATCAATGACACCATCACTGACCTCATCACTGACCTCATCACTGACCCATTTACTGATCCCATCACTGACATTACAGAGATACTATGACATGACATTAACAGTGCCTGTCTGTACCAGGAGGTTGAGCCAATATTACATAGCCACCAGTTATTTACCTTGTACTGTTCATACACAGATACATGGGTTACAGACTAAGAAAATATTCCATTATTCTGCTTTATCACCTTCAATTTAATTAAATAATTCTCTGTAAGGAAAATACTTAAGAATAAAATTGTTAAATTGATTACTTTCAGTATTGAATGTGACAAGCACATAGTCAGTACATGTATATGTACTTCAGATTTTGACTATGGCAAAATCAATCAACATAACAATATATACATACAAGATATTGAATTCCAAGGCACACAAACCACAACCATTATCATACTGTGTACACTTGTAATGATACTTACAAGTACTTTATCTTTACTATTGAGGCAAATGAATCTGATAAAAGTGTTGTAAAGTCATTATATGACAAATCTCTGAAAAAGATGAACAACAAAATAAAAGAGTGTGCAGACAGATTTCTGAAGCATGGATAGAAACACATGTGCTCCTACGATTCATTAGCATTTACTAAACTAGGTTTTTTGTGAACATTTGAAAATTAAAAGATTATTTCTAGAAAGACATGCAGACACTGCATTCCTACAAAAAACTTGTAGCAGTAAGAATTCATTAAAGAAAGAAATATATAAATAAACGAATTTGATTTTATTATCATTATTATTAATTTTGTTTTAAAGAGTAAAAGAAAACAGGTATTCATCAGAGCATGCGGCTTTTAGATTTGTAAGCAGTAAGGATTCAAGAATCAGGAAACAAATATGAATATTTTTATATTGTTTATTAATTTTACAGAGTTATGAAAATTTCTGACATATGAGAACTAAATTGAGAAGTGATTGACAATTAAAAAGTTGATTTTAATATTTCATCATAATTAATAGATAAGTTTTAATAAGCATGCAAAATGAAAAATCTAAGTAAATGGATAGCGGTAGATATTTCCAGTAATACTCACAGTGACTCTAGATAAGGCAAATTCTGCAATACTGATGACTTGGCTACGATGGAATTAATACTATTTCTTGATATGTTTCTGAAAAATAAAAGAAGAAAAAATATTGTCTTGGTAATAAATCTTGGTATATTTGAAACAACAACAAAAAAGCCTGAGCATTTATAAATTAGAGCAAATTACTGTTCATGTATAACAACATGTGAACTAATTGTCAAGTAATTCATACACAAAATGATGTAAGTAAAATATTGATAACGCTGGGCTTTCTGGATTTAGATTGAAATAGTTTCCTATAAAGGCAATTGTAAGGAAAGGAAGTGTGATGTCTGGGTTCCTATAGAGGCAAGTGTTAGGCAAAGCTGTGTGATGCCTGGTTTGCTACAGAGGCAGGAGTTAGGCAAGATAGTGTGATTTCTGGTTTCCTATCTTTAGTAAAGAGACAGGTATTTAAGCTAAGGTTGTGTGATGTCTAGTTTCCTATTAGGGCATGAGTTAGGCAAGGATGTGTGATGTCTGGTTTCCTATAGAGGCATGAGTTAGGTAAGGATGTGTGATGTCTGGTTTCCTAACTTTAGTAAAGAGACAGATATTTAAGTTAAGGATGTGTGATGTCTGTTTTCCTATAGAGGCAGGAGTTAGGCAAGGATGTGTGATGTCTGGTTTCCTATATAGAGGCAGGAGTTAGGCAAGGATGTGTGATGTCTGGTTTCCTATATAGAGGCAGGAGTTAGGCAAATATGTGTGATGTCTGGTTTCTTATAAGCAAGATAGTGTGATTTCTGGTTTCCTAACTTTAGTAAAGAGACAGGTATTTAAGTTAAGGATGTGTGATGTCTGGTTTCCTATTAGGGCATGAGTTAGGCAAGGATGTGTGATGTCTGGTTTCCTATGCCTACTGATAATAGACTGGAAAATGAAGAAGGCTACTTACAATCAGGAAAAGGGCATTAATTAGGAAAGGCTCAATAATGCTGCAAAATTTGAACCAGTACAGGAAGTAGCCAATCAAAAGCGACAAAAGTGTGTTCATGTCTTATACAACGTACACCTGGTGTCCAAAGAATTTCTTTCTGTTAATAAATGTCTCAATTATCAATAATCTTATCTGATTTTATAATTTACATGTTTAATCATAAAACACCGATAGAATTAAACTTGACTTAGCACATTACATATAATCACACTTAAATATTAACATCTTTGGACATTATTGAACATTTGTTTGCGAACAATTTATCTTTGCTGTGTGTCACAGTACTTGACAGTGTTATTGTGCACACATTCAAGATTTATAATCTCACCTATACACCATCATTTTCTAAACAATATTTCTGATAATCATCAGAAATCTGATTTATACATAGAGCTCTGTACAGTTTAAATCACTCAACTCTCTCATAGAAATCTTCATTGCATATGACTAATTGAGATAAGTTTTTTTTAAACCACAGGATTTTTTTTATTGATTTTCAACAATTAAACAAAATGTATATCAATCAACCTTCATTTCAATGTACAAGGTGGACCAGTCTTGGATAACAGTGGTTCTATAGGAGGTTTACCGTTCAAGATAAAACCTTTATCTGTTTAGGTCTTGCAACCAATGTATATTGTGGAAGAGTTTTGGTGTAGACATTTCAAGGTGTGGTGTACATGTTTGCCATTCAATATGAATGGTCCACCTTTCATGAACTACCTCTAAAGGTAAATAAAGCCCACAATCAGCAGGTACAAAAGTTACCTGGCTGAGGACCAGTTTGTGCTATCCAAACTTTGACCTAGGCTATATCCTGCAAATATAATCAATGATAAATATGAAATTGACTTATAGAGAAATGAAAGGAAAGTGTTAGTCACACACTGACTTACAAAGGCTCTAAATGGAACAGAAAACTTTGGGTTTGGTTTTTATCAGGACCAACGTGGGCTACCATTCCTTCAGGCAATATTGAACGGTTTCTTGTGAATATTTAGTATATCGTCTAAATAATGTCAACTTATATCAACTATACAGGTATACTATCATGATGTCATAGGGAAATTTGGAAGTGATCTGAACAGGTTTTTTCCCCTTGAAATACATCATAACATCTACCTATTAATTACCTTGTTATATTTTTTTTTAGAAGAATATCAATTGTATTCACTATTGACTATGCTGAGGTATTGACATTGACCCATACAGAGAACCAGCTACTCTTCAATAGGTAGCACACCTCGTTATGTAGGTCAGCTTAAAGTTATGAGTAAGAAGTGTATTCCACTATATAGTTTTATACAGAAAGGAAATTCAGAATATCAACCTGACATTCTGAAAAGTATCTGAATTTAATCAATTTGAAGTACAGATTAGTTAAATGGCTACAATGTGCAAACTTTTGAATCCGTCTTGTCGGGCAAGAACGAAAACAAGAATTTTGCCTGTCCACAGGGTACATTAATGTGTATTTCTGTGCTGTAGTCTTCGTGTCAAACCTTGGTTGGCTAATCGTGATGTAGCTATAACAAGTCTATATATCACTACAAGAATTTCTGGCACATTAGTTCTACCTGTGTTATCCAACAATATAAGGAGCTTCTTTTATGAAACACCCATTGAAATTACCAATTGTTCTCCCAGCTTGATGTGTTTCTTGCAATTATCTTGTAATAATTACATCTTTATCAGATGTACAAAAATATACCTGTACAATTGTATAACAGTTAACAACACCAGATATATACACACTGTAACGCCTTTACTGGTTGGAGAAGTTCACATTTTGTATTTGTGTTAATCATTGTTGTGATGCTCACATGGTTGATGGTGATAAATACAAATCTCTGCTCCAACAGCTACCTATATAGCTCGGTTTACCTGGCATAGGTAATTAACTGCATCCACTTGATACTTTCAGCTGTTTTTATGCGAAATGAAAAAGCCACATCCAAAATAATTCATACAAAAATAGCAAGAGGCATATAGCATATTGCACACCTGTTTCTTATATCAGAACCTCAGCCCACAGGGAAACTACAGTATTCTTTTTTACATAATAATAATAATAACAATTATAATTGGAGGTTCTTATATACCACTTTATCACAACCTTGTTAGTAGGTTGTCTCAAAGAGGTTCACAAATTATTATCTGTGGTTATAGGGCCTTTGCAACCAGCTAATACCTTTCTCAACTCCCTGGGGAGCATACAGCTGGAGCTGCCATTTCGGCGCTAACCGCTAGCATTCAACAATTCTAACACTGCCCAACCACATACTCATTTATAGCTGAGTAGACTGGAACAAGTGGAGTAAAGTATCTTGCTCAAAGACACAACACATTGCCGTGCCGTGCCGTGGCGCGAACTTGCAACCCTTCGGTCACGAGCCCGGTGTCCTACCACTGGACTACCGTGCCATCACAAATGCCCAGGTCCCACAAGACCATGATTACGACAAATAGGAAAATTTTGCTGAGATCTGCATACATCTTGTATGTCTTTTTGGTTATAAAATCAAATTTATGTAATGACAGCGAGATCAAATTTTGGCAAACTTGTGGCGCATGACCACACAAAGGGTTCACAAACTACATGAAAATTAATCATAGGACCTAACTTGTATTACGTTAATCCTAAATATTTCAAATATCCTCTCACTATCTACGCTGCCGTCGCTTTTTTATTTTGTATTTTTTATTATTCTCATATAATCAACTTATAACATTGTGTAACAGGTATTTTTTATACTAAAAATCATGTTAAATGTAGAAAAAGACTTTTGATAAGTTGCTAAAACTTTTATGTCTCATTTTTAAAATGTTTGGCATTTTGTTTTTAAAAAAACAAGTAATAGCTGGCAACTCATTTATAATATAGAGTTTAAAATTATATAAACAAAATTATCTAATTGTATATTTCAATATGTGTACCCCGGTAATAAAATGGCATAGAAATTATCAGAAAATGCTGTGATGCTGTCAAAAAAATAGCAGCCATCCAAAACCTTCCAAAGGCCAACATCAATACATGTCTGTCGATATATACCAGGTATAGAACTGAAGTGTGAAATACATGTCTGTCAATATATACCAGGTATGGAACTGAAGTGTGCAATACATGCCTGTCGATATATACCAGGTATAGAACTGAGTGTGCAATACATGTCTGTCAATATATACCAGGTATGGAACTGAAGTGGGCAATACATGCCTGTCGATATATACCAGGTATATAACTGAAGTGTGCAATACATGCCTGTCGATATATACCAGGTATAGAACTGAAGGGTGAAATACATGTCTGTCAATATATACCAGGTATGAAACTGAAGTGTGCAATACATGCCTGTCGATATATACCAGGTATAGAACTGAGTGTGCAATACATGTATGTCAATATATACCAGGTATGGAACTGAAGTGGGCAATACATGCCTGTCGATATATACCAGGTATATAACTGAAGTGTGCAATACATGCCTGTCGATATATACCAGGTATAGAACTGAAGTGTGCAATACATGCCTGTCGATATATACCAGGTATATAACTGAAGTGTGCAATACATGCCTGTCGATATATACCAGGTATATAACTGAAGTGTGCAATACATGCCTGTCGATATATACCAGGTATAGAACTGAAGGGTGAAATACATGTCTGTCAATATATACCAGGTATGGAACTGAAGTGTGCAGTACATGCCTGTCGATATATACCAGGTATAGAACTGAAGTGTGCAATACATGTCTGTCGATATATACCAGGTATAGAAAAGAGTGTGCAATACATGTCTGTCGATATATACCAGGTATAGAACTGAGTGTGCAATACATGTCTGTCAATATATACCAGGTATGGAACTGAAGTGTGCAATACATGCCTGTCGATATATACCAGGTATAGAACTGAAGTGTGCAATACATGAGAACCTGAGGTAGTGATTAATGTTGTTTAAATTAAAGTAATCAAGACAATGACCTTCCTCTACGTAACAGACTGATATCTAACAACAAGCAAATACTAATGCAGTCTATTTATTATATTACAACACAACTTTAAAAATCCAAAACAAAATACATGATTTGAACTGGAAAAA